ATTGACGTTAAGCTAAATCCTATTATAAGAATAAGCCAGAAAAATCTTTACTTGAAAAGGGGTAACTGACGGGTAGATCATGCTTTTCTGTTTCAAACTAGAATAGGTGCTTCTGAGTAAAGAGYATTTATTTGAAAACACRTCTTMCTTTCCAAAATTTTCACTTCCAGACCAAGACTACAGATGTAGATATCCCTCAGTACTGTCCTTTTGTACATTTTACTCTTTTGCACTTACACATAGAGGATTACAGTCAAGCTGTAAATGGCTTGCATCTTCCACAGCTGGACCTGTCAAGTGGGATTTGTTTCTGTTGTGTTTGGAATGGTGTAGATAGGAACTCTGTACATCCATGCACCATTTGTGGTTAAACCAGGGCCTCCAGGCCACAGGTCATCTGCTACCTCATGTGTGTTCATTTTGCCTTTTCACCACAAATGTCACTATTGTTTCTGCCATCAGGGACAGGGGAGGACWTGACRAGAGTGGTTGCTAACTGGTGTGGTTATTTTGGTGGAGAGGAAGCAATTTGAATGTGTGTTAGCCWGAGCCATATGTAAATCAGTGGCTCTCAGGCTCGTCACCTGTGGATTGTGTCTGRCAGCAGTGTGTGACAGAGGTAGCCTGCTTAGGGATACCTGCACAGAAGGCAAGAAAAATGCTTGATGAGATAGTGATGAGATACTGTTCTGTCGTTTTGCCTGTTTGTATACATACAGCACTTGGAGAGAAACCACTGTCTGGAGCAGTCATTTATTCCATGCCCATCATCAGCCCTGCTCCTACTACAGCAGACAGGATATCCTTTTTGTTTTTCACTTTCATGTTGTTTAAACTTTCCTATCTTACCCTGTAAACCTGTGAGACTCCTTATCTCTGCCTCTTAGTCACGATCAACACATGTCTCTTAGAAGCATTTTCCATAACTTCTCTGAGATCAGAATGACATTATGACAGGATGTTATGATTTAGTTAAGTTTAGTTTATATTTTTATTTCTGTTTAAGAGCCAACAGAAAAAAAAAAAAAAAGAAAAAAGAGGGAAGTTGCTAGCAAGGATTCAGAGCTGTAGAGAACTGTACCCTGATCCACCAAAGTTTTTAAGTACACCAATAGTCCCAAAAGTTGATGGACTTGTGTAGTTAGCATATTTGGTTAAACCAGCACACTCAAATCAAGTCTCACGTCTCTTGATCTGAGCAATATTTCTCCATTCATTGTCAGTCARTAGCAGGTGTTTTCACAAACCATTTTCTGATAACAGATATGATAGGATTTCAGGCCTCCTATTAAGAAGTTCCTTATCCTTGCCAAAATCACAGCCTAATTAAGCAGGAGGTTTTATTCTGGTCCTATTAGTGTGAGTGATGAAACAGTAAATGGAAACGGCTGTGTCAAATTGGATGGTAGAAGATGCAAGATTGGAAAAAAAAGGAAGGAAAGACATTTCATTTGAAAATTTGCAGAAGGAGGTTGCAGGAAAGAGCTCTCGCATAATGAAATGGGAAATGAGACGAGGGCAAAAGTCAGCAGAAAATTGCACCCAAATCTGGAGCCTTCCTTCCTCTCCATCAGCCTTTCAGTTGCTCTCTCATGATATCTTCATCTCTAGAAGCCCCTGTGAAATGGAGCAGTTTTTTTGACATTTTTCTGTTTACAGTTTTTGTTGCTCTTTTCCCCAGACAGCATTTTGCTTCCTTTCTTAAAACTTAATGTTCTTTTAGCCAGACAAAACAAACAAAKAAACAAAAAACTGTGGGGAAAGACTTGTTGCAGGTGTCTGTCTGCTCAGTGTAAGTGTAGATTAAATGGAATATCATTTRTGCATTCACCTTATAGTTGTTTTTCAAGGACAAAGACCAGAAGTGCACTCTACACTAGTTTAAGGATGATCTCAATTTACAACTGGCTGCTTCAAAGATTATACCAAATTATGTCTGTCAGTCTCAGAGCACAGACAGATCTTCCTCAATAATTGGCTGACAAATCTGGAAGAATTCAAGGGCAGGTGGAATCAAAATGCTTTTACTGTGGTGGAAGTCAAAGCCCATTTTTCTCATCCTTCAKCTTCAAAAATCATCCTTTGTGGTTTTAGAAAGTGATTAGATAATATAGCTTATTTCMACACTTTCTCTAGCTGTTAAATACAGTTATTATAACACAAGAACATGAATTTCTAAAAGAGTTATAGATTTGAATATAAAGAGTAATATGAGCTGAAATGGAACATGTAGGTAAGAAATAAGAAAATAAAGAGAAGTTGCAYCCAGTGCCTGAATTTAAATGTAGTCAAATGATTCTGTGTATTTCAYAGGAGATCCTGTTGCTACAGAAATAATTTGCATTCTGTCATTATGTAATGCACACAGACTGAAACAATTYTTCATGCTTATAATGGAGAATGGAATATAAATAATAAATTTAAAATGTGAGAAAGAAATTATTCAACCCCGGTAACATAATAAGCTTTAGCATACTCAACAATGCTGTTAATATTAATTTTGAACATTTTCTTATACCTCTGTGAACCACTGCAGCTAAAACAATCAAAATTAAAAAGGGGAGGGTAATCTTTGGTATGTTTATTTCATTACTGTGCATAACAACACTATRCTTCTGGATAACAAATATATTCCTGTAGAACAATACTGATGCGACTCCATTTCCAGCTTTTTGAGGAACCATCCAAATTTAACAAAAAAATCCGCAAACATTTTAGTTTAAAATGTTAAAGCTATTTCCATTAGGTTTTCATTAAAGTAGGAAAGTAGTGATTTTTCTTGCAGCAAAAAGCTAATTCCTGATTCTGCTACAATGATATGTGAGAGAGATCTGCTATTGGCTTCACAGTGAGAAAAATGGGCTTTGTAATCTGAGATTTGGGACATTTTTAGAACATTCTTCTGAGATGTAGCTTGATTTCTATTAAAACTAATGATAAGACCCCTGCGGCGTTTTTGCAGGAATTGGATCAGGCTCTCAGTGGTACAGCCTGTTCTATATATAACTTACTCAGTGCTGCTGGTGTGTGTGGCAGACAGCTCCCAACCCAAAGGAGCTGTAAGAGGTGATGGATCTTTACAAGTGTAAGGCAGCTTGAAATAATTGCCATGGCAAGGGAGRGTTGTGTGAAACAACCTGCAGCTTTGTACTGCTTTGGAAGGGCCACACTGTGGAATTGCACATCAGTAGATATTTGTCATTTTCTGTAATAGTTGCATGAGAAATTACATGCATTGGGGTGTCCTACCATGGACGTACTCCTTACTGTATTTCTCTGTGGGACTCACGCTCATGTCCTTCACTGCTGGGCTACAATACATAGATGGAGAAAAAGATGTGATGCAGGACTGAGTCAGGCTCTATGTCAAACCGTACCTAAGTGTAGTAGGATGATTTTAGTTGTAGTTCAGTGTGCATTTAACTGAACTCCATTTTGTGTAGAAGTCTGTATTTTGATTTCTCTAATTTTTTCTCTGTTTCAKCCTACTGTCACTCGCTATGGACCATCCAAGTTTTTTAACTCCTTCACATTGTTTACAGAAAAATTATTACTCTACTTGCCTACATAGAAGTGTTTTATCCAGTATTTCATCCAGCAGGAAAATTTATGTTAGTTTTAAAAATAGTTGAATAGAATCCCATTGGAATTCTACTGGAAGGAAATAAATTTCTTCTCATCAGGGATATCACTTTCTTGACTTCTGTGCATTTACATGCTATTGAGACTCTTTGCTTTCTTTTGCTAACAGTTGTGTAAGGATAGATTAGAAACTGGAATTTCTTGTGTTTTCAATAATTCAGCTTTTGTCATAGACCCAAGACCTAGAAATACCAGCAGAATTCATTAATGTTCCATCATTTGTCCATCTGGAAAAAGACAATACAGTATAATTGAGCCTTCTTAGAGTTGACATCAGGATGAATATTTTCCTAGTAATTAAAATATCTTATTTTCATTTCTAAGGTTTAATAACTTCTGGTCACTTTAAAGCTGARCTCGGCTTGCATAGCAACAAAATTAATTCTGACCTTTATTTTTATTGGTTTGTTTTTCAGCTTGAACTCTGCTTCTTCCATGGTATCTAAGCATTTGCAAATGAGTCATATTTTCCTATATCCTCAGTACATGAACATGTGAATGAACACCGTAATGAATGTGAATGAGCACAGCAAGGATTTAAAGCACAGATTCTTGGCTAGCATTTATTCCTCACTTACATGACGTGAAGCTACAGTCTCTCATAAGAAACCAGTGGACATGATGCTTGTGAGTGGAAGAAGGGATGGTGTTGGGCTGAGCCACTGAAGGGAAGAAGAGCAGTGGGTTTATCAGAAATCTGAGTGCTGTAGCAAAAATTGTGGGGGAAAATGAGCATGTGAGACAGCTGATAGTTCATGGGTTAATGCTAAATCCACAGGAACTCATGAATGCTTTAGGGGAATTAATGAAGTGGAGAGGACTGAAAAGCGGTCTTGTGAGTCTTGGTGATAAGAAATGGACAGATRTCATCCTGAGCCACCTGATGAAACAGGATTGCATGAAAGGAACTTGGRTCAAAAGAAAACTACTTATGCCCCCCAGGAGATGGGTTCTGTTTCTAGAGGTCTGCCACTGTGGCYAAACTGGTCGTGGTGAAAAGTAGAGCCCAAATGTCATGAAGAGGACTGAGTGTATAATTTCCTTGAAAAAGTTAGCAGTGTCTGCCTCAAGCTGTGATGGCCTAGAAATGCCTATTAACACATCCATGTAACTGATACCAACATTCTTTTACTGAGTAATAAATATGTCAGTTCTGGACAGGATTTGCTCTAATGAACTCTGCTTATAAGGGGCATTTTCTACTAATTAAATTCACATTGACAATACATGTGTCATTATTCAGATACTGAGAAATTCCTGCAGTGCAATTATCTGTGACATAAGTGCCCATTTACTATACATTTAAATTTAAAGTTAGGAAGTATTACAAATGTTACCAAAAAAAAACCCCACTAATAAACTTCAATATTAAAGTTATGGTTAATATACCGCTCATGAAATCTCAGCTTGAATTTATTATCCAGTTTGTGATAAGGTCACATTCTTCATTCCAGTTCAGTGGGGTTTACCCAAGGCTGCTTTTTCTGGTGGTTTCTTTCCCTGCCTATCCAAGCTTTCTGTGGATTGAGGAACTGTTTCTGCTACTCCTGCCTTTCCATCAGTCTTCTTTGCTGCGCGCTGGTTGCTTTTTGTATCCTTTTCTGTTTCCACAGGGGGCATTTCATTTGGATCAGGTGTCTCTTCTGTAGCAGTAATTTCTTCTACGTGTGGCTTAATAAAATCTGATTTAGGAGAAGTAATAAAATTTCTGAGTAATCCTAAGTAATAACGTTTACTGTGGTCAACAACATTTCTTTCACATTGGTTATGACCTTATCATGTTCTTTTACTCGTTCCATACCCATATAAGGGGATTCAGTGTCACACATAACARTACTGCTTCTTGTGAAACCAAAAACAAGCCCATGTCTTTATGGTCTCTAATTCCAATGATTAAGAAGTAGATACCGGAAAACATTTACAGGTACAGCAATAATTGTTTCCCACTTAAGTCACCTAATTTACAGAACTGCTGAGAAAAGTGTGCCATACCAGTAGGGCAAGAGAGGAAGGAAATACTGTAAAATATTTGTTCTTGCCTTAGGAGCAAAACGGTGTGAGGGGAATACAAATATAAAATATTCTGTCAGAAATGATATAACATGAATACACCCTGTATACCAAAAAAAATACTTAGGCAAATATATGTAAAACATATTTTTATAAAAAATCAGATGTTCTGATTTTGTTGGAATTTAAGACTGATTTGGAGCTAAAATGCTCTATATGAGGGAGTTGTAATTGTGAAGAATACATCAATGTCCAAATAGCAATTATATAGTAAGAGTTTAAAAGAACAGTAAAATAATATACAAGTAATRTATGAGAATGCTGAATCACCAGAGAGCTTTTAATTTTCTACCCTTTCTCTAAATGGGACCAAAAGTGGTCACTTATAATTCCAACTTTTGCATTCAATATGAGCATAAAACTAAGAGAGAATAATTGATTAATCTCAGGTAGTGCCTAAATGATCAGGATTTTCTAAAACACTTAGGCATTTAGGGTCGCTAAATCGGCAAGGCCTTATTTTTGGTGAAATACCAAACATCTAGCTGCTGAAATGAGTCTCACTTTGGAAAATAACACCATCTGTGTATGCATGCATGCTTACAAAGTCTTTCCTCTACATTCAGAAACTGAAAGGCATTTATTATTACTTGAAAAACTTSCATCAACCAGATTAGCCAAGGTGACAACTCGCAGTGGAAGAAGAAAACATGGTTTAAAAACATTGATTTAAATCTCTCAGTTAGGCCTAACCTGGTAATTCATACCTTGCATCTGCTGTTAAGAGCCTACATACTGTAAACTTGATTGATTGGGACCTGTGAAATATTGATTGGCACAGACTGTTCACTCCATAACAATTTAACAGCTTTTTCATTGCAATAGAAGACCATAACAGTGAAACACTCCTACCTTTCTTTCCCCCTTCCTTCTGTTTGCTTGCTGTCAYTGTTTTTTTCTTTTTAGATGCAGTTTTATTGTTCTGATTGTGTCCTTGGGCTGTGTCAGCCTGCCCTGACACAGGCGTCACAATCACCTGAAGCAAAGCAAGAACAAAACGTGCACAAGCGAGACATGTGGATGCAGCACAAATTCGGTCTGAAACCACCACAACTGAATCCCTGGAAGCAAAACGTTTTGAAGCAGGTACTAGTCTAACTTTCAGGAGCCCATACATCTGCCAAAGCAGAGCAAAGTAGAATCCAGCCTGTTACCTGAGAGGTGACCCACTTGTATTCCTTGGCAGTTCTGCCAAAAGGCAGGAGGCAGAAGGGCAGATTTTTGAAAATAAAATAGTAGAAATGAATGGCTGCCAAAATGCAATAGTTATTAAAATTGTTACTAAGTAATAAACATCAGTTATCAGTTATTGCAGAGAGCAGCTCATATTCTTATTTGCRCTCTGGAGGATGGAAGAGCTGTGATACTGTTATTTGTATAAGTTACATGTCATGGGACAAGGATGAGGTAACCTCCATGTCATCCTTGAATTGGCTTCATGTCCTACTAAGCAAAATGATAAAATAATTTTGTATTAGTTCTTTAAACTCAGGAAGCTTGCTGTATCTCAAATTACAGATCTTCTCATTATTATATTTTGAAATCTAAAAATTAAGCCTTRTTACTTTGTTTGATACGCAGCTGCTGTGACTAAATAGTCTGAACTTTTTTTTGTAACAAATATTGATTCATTAAAGTACATAATTACACACTTAGAMCTTAAAATGCAATAGTGTCATCAGTTTTGATACTTGAGTGTTAAATATTTTAGGAGATAAGGTTGTGTGAACACATACACTGATGAAACACCAAAACCACATTGATTTTGCATAATTTCATGTTAAAAATCCCTGTGATGTGAAATCTGTTCTAGAAGAAAAAGAGATTTATACCAGATTAACTTAACATGTTCCTTGAAACAGTGGTATTATTAAGGCAAGCACATGCACTAACGTTAGGCACATGCTAACATGTTTTGTTAGTTCATAAAAAAYTGATCTAAATATGGATTATTTTTATAGGATTAGGGTAATAATCATTAGCCGTTTATAGAAACTGATTTAAAAATAAAAAAAAGATTGTTAAAATTGGCATTTTTACTATTGGTAATTATGCTGAATCAATTTTTACCTGAACCATTAAGAATTCCCTCATGCTATCACTTCTCCTTTAATGTTAGCTGACAGTAAACCTCACATATATATAAGGGTTTAAGTGTTAACTGTAYATCACTTAGTAGTGGCATCCCCACAGAAATGCCAATACTGCACCAAAGTGAGTACCCAGGACTGCAGCACTGTCATGTAGCTAGAAAAGACAAGAGAGTGTACGTGAAAGGTGCACAGAGGTCATGCTTAGACTGAAAATATATATGTTAGTTCTTTAGATTTTGCTGYGAAGAATTGTGCTGTTGTGAGATTTGTACTGAAACCATTTCGTGGCGTGGGACATTGTTCTCCTAAGTAGCAATTGGGCCGATGATAACTGCTTCTGATCCTATCCTGTTTATATAGTGTCACCTGTATATATCATTCATATGTCCAGCAGGTTCTATTGCTTTTCCTCAGCTGATATAATCTTTGTAAAAGAGCAGACRAGGAGTTTTTAATTATGTAAGGTGCATTCAAAGATCTTTTTCTATGGAACATTTTTGTGTAATGAATAAACCCCCAAACTCCACATTTTTTTTCTGTGTAACAGTGAAGATTCTTTTTGTAGCTTTAAGAGATCTTGATAAAATATGTCATTTCTCAATCTCCAGTATTAAGTTTGGATGAAATTAACTGACTTTTGTCTCTAACATAATACTTACATATTACCCTTAAATCAAAATTCAGGGCAGCAAAATTCCAGCTGCCTTGAAAAGCCTGACACCACTTCTGTGCCAGAAATTTGCAAAAATACCTTGTTGAGTTGAGATGTGAAGTAGTGAAGGTCTGGACAAAGAGGTGTGAGGAGATGCCACTGTGGTTTTGTTGCAAACAGCAAAGTGAAGATTATCAGGGATCTAAAGGGAAGCTGGAGGTAATTACAGTGGTGAAAGCATTAAGACACTAAGATACTGTGCACAACTGCCAGAGCAGTGACTGGTAAAACAAGACACAGTGAAACAAGCTTGTGATGGAAGGAAAGAAGTGAATTCAGTTTATTTGTGAACATAGCAGAGAGTTCGTACACTTTTACAGACACACACACATTAGTATCCTGGCCTCCTAAGCCTTATTTTCATTTATGTTACAGTACYGTTGCCATGTCTGGGCAGATTAAACAATATTTAGGGCTGTAAACAGCACCCATTTTAAGGCCTCGTTAAATTAACACAGCAATACAAAGGGGCCTCAAAGCAGACAAAAAATAGCACTAATTTCTCTGTGATCTAACACATTCTATCTTTACTACTTTGCCAAAGTTGGGACAAATCCTAGCTGCTGCTCAAAAACGCCCCGATCATTTTTGATCTTTCCATCTACCKCATCAGTTGCTTCCACGGAAACGATTCTTGACCTTTTCCTTCCAGATGCTCCAGGAAAAGGGTCAAATGGTGGGTCTGTGTTTATAGACAACATGCACTAGGCTTTGCTTAAGATGCTACAATTAGTTTCTGTGAAATTAGCAGTAAGAAAACATTTAGGAAAGGCCCTGTTTTCCTTGGCATGAACAAATRCATTAGAAGCAAAAGTGAAGTGAATGGAAAAATCCAAGGCTGCCTGCTAAAGCAGAAAGCCATTTACACACACAGATTATGTCAGCCTAACATCCAAAATCTCCCCTGTACTTCTGTCTTCTAGTCTTAAATTCATGCTTTCATTTTATCTTACTGCTTTTTCTCTTGCTCAGCCTCTCTCTCTTCCTCAGGTATGTACACACTTACAGTGACATCGCTGGTCTCTGTACCRTACTTGTTTTTCACCACAATGCTGTATTTCCCAGAGTCTTGTGTGGACACAGTAGAAATGGAAAAGCTGACATTTTTTCCAGATTCAAACTTCAGGATGCAATTGGCATCTGAGACAAAGGATTTTTCGTTCTTCAGCCATGAGACCTCTGGGGTGGGATCTCCCCAKACAGTGCAAGAAAGATTCAGTGCCTATAGAAAAAGTACAAAGGAATTATGAGTCAGTAAATATTTGTTGTGTTTTTTAATGCCTGGTTCTCTACATATTCCAGCTCCCCATTTAGCTTCCTGCTTTAAGTAAAAGGTTGCATACCATCATCAGTAATCAATAATTTATGTCACTCTTCTGTATCAACAAAGGAAAAGAAGTAACTCAGTTAATTCAAAAAAGCCATTAAAACCTTTCAATATTTTATGGACCTTCATCTCTGCTCTCATAATCATTAGGTTTCTCCATGCATATTTTTAATATAAAACTAGTTGTTATCTACATTTGTGTGTTAGACCTGAAATGAGAATTTAATGAACTGTCAGATGTTTTTGCTCATGTTAAGCTCAGTCTCTCTTTCTCTCTCCCTCTCTCTAAATATATATATCCCATAAGTAAAGAAAGTGTGCCTGCTTTTTWAAATAACTAACAACAAAGTGGCCCCGGAATATTTTGTTTAATTTAGGATCCTTTTAAACTATGCCCTGACAGCTCTTCTAACAGACTTGAAGTGTTTATGCACCCCTGTACAACCATTTTTAACTGAAATCAATACATGCTTTACTCCTTTGTGTTCATGAAAATATTTCCCTTTGATGTTAGCACTGTTCCTAAGAACTGAATTCAGTCCCATCAGACTATAGGAATTATCTTCACTGTTAGAGAATTGGATGTTGGAGAAATCACTGGCATCTTCTACCTTCAGTGAGCTGGCAAGTCTCTTGGGCATACTATGTATAGGCCTCTTTTTTTTTCTTGTCAGTTAAGAAATTCATTTTTGGGAGATATAGATGACCCCCACCTTCAGTCACAGTGCTATGCCAATCTCCTTTAAAATGTTTGCAGAAGTGAGTATCAGAGTGTCAAATGTGAAAAAAGTTCCCATGATAGTTCAGTGGTAAATAGGCCTTTCTCTGGAGCTTTATTTATCTGTAAGAATTGGATAGTACACTGCTCTAATTTTACAATGCTATTCAAAGGGGAATCTAACTGGACTGGAAATTGAAAAGAAATTTCTTTACTGCAAAGAAAATAGTCTTCTGTGGTTTCTTAGGAATAGATTGATAAATAAGGAACAGACAAGCTTTCACTGGACTGGAATCAAGTAACTCTTCCATTTTGTTTAAAGACTTTCTAAAAATGTGTCAAAAATAAGGGCAACTGAAGAGCACTCACATTGTCAGCTCTATAGGCTGTCAAGACAAATATCCACAGTGAGAAATCTATTTAACTGGCTGCCTTCCCTTCAGCTCACTGCTTCTTWTCTGGTAGTGTGATAGTGAAAGATGGGACAGAAGACAGATGCCTGGAAGGCTGTTGAAATGTGRGGATAGATAAACTGATACCTCTAAAATGGAAAGGTTTTTATATTTCTGAGAACAAAATAAAAATCAAATCAATCCCACATGCCAAATCTAAGGACAGAAATGAGAACATTCAGCACACATAATTCTTGATATGGAAGGAGGAACATATTCCAAGTGAGAGGTGGTTATGGCACGGTGGAAATGGCCTCTATCTGATTTCCTGCAGCACCTACAGCTGGTGACCACGTGGGACTGTTGACTCCCTTCTCTTGTAGCCCACTGTTGTGAATGTGGTTTTGATTGCCCTATCAGTCCATCTTTCTGAAAAACAAGTGGGAAACGTGGTTTTACAGTTCCCTGTTTTCCTTATCGCTCTGGACACAAACATGCTCTCAGCCTTAGCCAGACAATGAATATGGACCCCTTCAGGTGCTCGGTATTTCTTTATTGTCTTCTGATTCTCAGTCAAGCAGGAGATCTGCACCAAGTGGCCCCAGCTCCACTCCACCACAGTGCTGATGAGCTGATATCCATGTCCATTAGTGGCATCATTCAAAGCATGGGCTTTTAAAGTGGTGTCACACTCCATAATTCAAAGAGATTCAAGCAGCAGTGATGATTCCTTTCTTTCACTAAACCATTCCTTAAAATAGCTACATTTTCCTTAACCTTCCCATCASTAGCTCCTGCTTGACATCAGTGATTCTCTTGATGTTCCCAACTCTTTCTATTTATTCTCCAGCTACCAATGTGTCTTATAATTAACTATGTAGATGATGGATGTCTTTGGTTTTCTGGAAGGTAAGGCAGAGAGGTAGGCAAGGAGAAGTGATTGTTCATTGTGACCTCACCTATCTGTTTCAGATTTTCTCTTCTCATATATATATTTATTGCTCACTGAAACCCTTGATTATAATCCTGTGTTCAACTTGAAATCCTCATTATGATACAAAAAGTGTGCACTGTGCTTGTGAACCCAGGACTATGCGGAGTGTCCATTTGGAACAACCAGCAGCTGCAAATTCAAACCCTTTGTGTCCTCACTGTCTCTTCTGCCTTTGACTGCAGATTATCAAGCGTAGGGTAGCCAGATGGCAGAGAGAAATGTGTCATTGTATTTCAAGCATTGCCATTCCTCTTTCATAGCAGCACAGAGTCACAGTCATGGATGGTGGTGGATAGTGGGTTGAAGCAGTTCGGTCAGGGAAATGTGCTCCTTCTTCCAGCCCTATGTGTGAGGATCTACACTCCTGGCAGAAGGGTGGAGTAGTGAATTGGTGGGAAGGATTCTACATGTTGCTTCTATGTCTGAAAGTACCTGTCAGAACCGTAAACCTCTTCTTTCAAAAATAAAGTCCACTTACTCATTTACCGGCCTTCATTGAAGCAGCCACTTAGGTGAAGTTGGCCAGCTGGACACAAAACTTATGCTAGCATTCTCTGTCAGGTCAGATTGCCCCCTAATGTGAGCTGACACTTAGCCTTTTCCAATTACACCACACTGCTGAGGAGCATTTATGTCTGTCAGTGGAAGCCTCTTAGGCCATCTGGAATGCTATTTGATTAACATTCAGTAAACACTGGCTCATTTGCTCTCACCTGTACCCTTCAGCTCACATGGAAAAAGCTAATAAATAGCCCCACAGTCACAATGTTAAGTTTAAATTTGAGGTATGCATATGCTTGGAAGTCCACTCTTGGGATACCAATCTGTTCATAGAAGTCTGAGGTTGTGGTGGAATATTCACAATCAAAGCTTGCAACTGCCAGACCTCTGCTACCTCATTTGCTGTTTTACAAAATCCTCAGTGATTGTGCAATTTGCATGAGTTACAAAACAGAGAATTGCATTCCCCTCTTTCCAGCATATATGCAAATAGACAGATGAGCTAACACCACCCAAACAAACTCTGTTTTCCCTGATCACTCTCTGTCCTACTCAAAGTGCTTCTCTACTGAATCAAGAAACATAAGGTCAAGGATATTGGTCTCGAGTTCTGGGAGTATTTCAGTCATTTATTCAAAAGTTACGAATGTCCTTGCTGTCAAGGACAACGTGTCTGGCTAAGATTTTGCAACTCATTTTTTACAAACTCTTTTTATAAACACTACACATTTTGCTTYAGTGAACTCATGCATGAGTTCATATCAACTCTCTTTTGGCTGAAAGCTTAAAACTGTTTAATAGTTTATACTCCAGTTTACACCCTGCCAAAGCATTATGAGAATCACACCTCCAAGCACTGATTAGCTGAGAATCTGCAAATTCATTCTGTTCCTTTGAGTSTTCTATCTACAGTTACAATGCTCACACAAGTCCTTCCTACTTTACAGCATTTCTCAAACTGCTGAATCTGTTCAAGAATTTTATTTTGTAATGTCAGCATACTTGATTTTCCTAGGACTGCTGCAGTCTACTATCTGTTAACTATATCTCACATTGTTAAGCCTTTCAGAACAAGACTTTAGATTCTTAACACTTCTGCTGAGCTTATAATCAAATTCTTTTAACCCACTTGACCTACTGCCAGATAAAGCCAGAAATACCAGGAAGCTGCCTTACTGTAGTTGTCACATTACAAGTTTTCAGTGACATTCACATGCCCTGTTTCACTGTTCACACTCATTGTGAAGAGAAACTGGCTCATGAGCAGCAGGAAGTAAAGAGACAGCACTTCTTGGTCTCAGTACTATTAAACAGCAAGTTGTAGAAGCAGTGTTCTGGGAAAAGATTGTGAGATTGAGRACTGACTTTCTGGGTCATCTGTTCAGTGCTCAATCATCGATGTTCCTCTGGGAGTGCCTTACAATAATCTTTCAGCTAAACTATCCTGATATAGTCCAGTATAACACCAGTGACTTATTTTGACTTCCTTCTCCTTTACTCTGATGAAATAGAGAAGTTTTTCTGCTAGTGTCTGGATGACAATTGAGTTATTGTGGTTTACTACTTTTACACCATTTAAAAGCCAACCTCTACTTGTGTAACTACCATGCCAYATTGCAAGAAAGTTAACTGCAAAAGGAGTAGAAKGACTGGCTACTMTGTAAAAAAAATTAAACTTCCCTGMTGCCCTATTACAAAAAGAATCTGTGAAACCTGTGCATGAATTTTTAAAGGGCTSGTTATATAAGGAGTTTTAGTCCCAACTCACATTGTCATCTCACTTTTATCTAATTCTGAAGAAAAGACACTGCCCTGAATACATAAACCCATCTGTGCAAGTCCGTTGAATTATGTACAGAAAGCAGGGGATGAATAAATAATGTAGCAGATTTTAAAGATGGCATCCTTAAAAAAAAAAAAAGGTGAATGTTTGCCCATCACCAAAAGGCATTCAAGCTGTTGGGGTGTTGTGTAAAGCTTCAGTTGATTTACTGTACCTTGCCCTCCTGGATAGTGACAACATCGGGCAAACCTCCAAGTACCCGTGCACGATCTGGAAATAAAGAAGAGACATTTTCTTTAGTGTCTCAGAATCAACTGTGTGCTGGGTTCTTTTTCTCTTCTAGTCCTTTCCTTTTGTCTTATTTATGTACAACTCATCTCTGATATGTGTGCTAGCAGGGAACTATCCAGCATTTTTAGCACACCATTTGGRCTTTAAAAATGTTGAATTCACAGCAAAAGATGTGTTAATAGCTGATGTCAATCACTTCCAGAGAGGAATTAAAGTACATGTGCTGTGTCCTGCAGATTTTGACATCAATTCAGTTTTAATTCTGAGTGCACAAAAAAGGTTTACATTTTTGAGATCTGGTGCTCAAATTTTTTACTGCAGTAAACTAAAAGCGTTTGGTGTCCAAAGGGAAATGAATGACACCTGGTAAAGTGWTGGAGATTGGCTTTTAATCTAAACCCCGAGACAGATTTCCTTTTTAGTGACAGCAATTAAATTCCACCATTTGTGTGTATCTCTGTGTAAATGAGACCGATACCTGACTGATCTAGTTTTAAACTCAGAATGCCATAGAAATCTTAGACAAATACAAATGAGCCTATCACATGCAGGCTGCAGTGCGCTTATCCTGGAATATGGATTCTGTTCCTTACRTCTGGGTGGAGCCTGGCAGAGGAAGGAAATGACTGTACAGAATGTTCTCTTCMGATGTGTTCTGTAGAAGATGTGCTCTGGAGCACAGAGATAACAGCCTCAGGAGACCAAGGAAGGGACTGTGTTATGTCAGTTAACATTCCAGCTCCTCATGGATAGATAGTCCACGGTCAGGAATTAAAGGTYGGGGCAATCACTGACCCCTTTGCGCTGTCTCAGCCAGAATGTGCAGGGGTTACTGTTCAAATCCAACTCCTCCTGTACTTTGCTACACATTTTTCTCAAATAATTTTTCAAATGCCAGTTCTRCCCTCATATTTATATAGGCCTGAAAGTCATTTGCAGTGGAACAATTCATTTTCTATGGCTTCTTCTGTAAATAGGGAGGATAATGAGTTTAATAATTCAAGTTGAAGTCTAATAACAGATTAGTTATTATTATTACAGATTATTAAATAGTTAATACATACTTCTGTTTTAGTGCTCTGTTGGGATTGACATACAGGCAAAAGAAGGAGATCCTAAGCAATTCAAAAGCTACTGCTGCTTTCTTACCCATTTCTGGAAATAAGGCAGTCATTTGACATTTTAGAGCATTCAAAACTAGCCAAATTATTTCCTCCATCTTTGAAAACAAAGAGACTTTTGTGCAGAGAACATGCATATGAGAAACCCCAGCAGTAAAGTTAATTTTTAGAGAAGGCTAACTGGTATTGAGAAAAGGAGCTTAGCAAAACAAACCTAACCCAAAAGTATAATGTGATTAGCTGCAAAGTGCACCAATGTTAAATCACCAAAGGGTCACTTACTTCTCATTGGTATAAGGACAAACTTGTTTTAGGAYGAGCACATGCATATGCACATGTTTACATGCCCTCCCTTTCCCAACACACAGCCTTCCTGGAGAGGAAGAAAATCCTCACAAACAGTTTATTGCAACCATTGTCAAACAAGGCCCCACTTACTTTTCTCTGCAATCGCAGCTTGCCTGGAGTTGAAAGAAACAAAGGGAAAGTCCATTTCAGTTAAGGTTTACTCAGAGTGATTGAAAAATATATTATCTTTTTAACAGCCTTTAATCCATTAAGGAAAATCCCTCTCATTGCTTGGCAATACTGCTTTTTCTTTGCTACCTGACTGTTACATAAGAGTTGCACCGAAGAAGTCACATGCAAAACTCCTACGGGCTTCTGTATGACTAGGACTTSTTTCATAAGATAGAGTTATCTCCAGCACAAAATAAACAAATACTGTTATTATTTTATGGCTGCAATTACCATATTTAGACGGCATAATACTTACTTTAATCTCTGGAACTCAGCAAAGGCTTCGTCAAATGCTTTATAAAGAGGAAAAAAGTAGGTTTACATATAAATCATCACATGAGTTTAAAATTAAAATGAATAAACAAATTTTAAATGTAGACATCATTAAAAAATATTAATGGTTGCATGCATGTATGTTGTACAAACTCTAAAATGCTGAATGATTCAAGTGATAAAGGTCATATGGTACATGGCATCTATCATATATCCATACGAATGTATAAACACAGTTTTTTTCTTCCAGAAGTCAGGATTTAAGACTGACTCCTAGAAGGAGAGAACAGGAAAGTAGTAGGCTGAAGTAATTTCACAAAATAGAGGAAGAAATGTCCAATACATCAGCTAAATGATAGATTATATCTGTGACCTCCCAAACTTTTTATATTACACATCCCTATCTAAAATTTTTTTTGAGCATGCACTCCCAATATCTGTGTATTTATTTACAGATATTGTGGATGTACTTGTGAAGTTCTTGTATTTTTTTCCTGCATGCCAGCGATGCACGCTGGGTCATCYTGCACACATCTACTTCAGAGACTACTGGTTTGTGGAATACAAAATACAAAAGGTGTTTTTTATGTCTGATTGAAGCACTACACTGATGGCTACGAGCAAACCAAACAGCAAATTGGTGTCTCCTTTGAAAATTTCAGGTAAGCTGCCATCATGGGGGAGGTCAACCTCTCCTGCTTGAAAGGGAAGAAGAAATGTCTTTTCCGAGCAAGAGGAGATAGAGTACAGAAGGAACAGCGTGGAGATGATTAAAATGTTATCACCCTTACACAGAGCTTGCAGACAAAAAGTGAAGCTTTTAGGGATCGAATATCTGGGAATGGAGAGAGCACTTTGGAAGGAGTTAATCTATTCTCTAGGATATGAGAGATCTCTGAGAGTAAAAGCTTCCAACGGTCAATGCAAATTTTTCCCCTAACATTCCTTTCTCATGTTAACAAAAGGTCTTGGCATCTCTGAAGAATAAGGAGTTTTATTACACCCATCAAAGAAATAMAGTAGGAAAGTATGTGAAAAAACTTGTCCCTCACTTCCTCCTTAAAMTATTCATTGGAAGAGAGACACACAGAAGGCATTCAGTGTTACAACTCGTATTTAAAACTCACARTCAATGCCAGCAACACAAGGGATTTTGTAAAATAGCTCAGAAACTGGGCTGGCATCTCAGTAGGCAAACTGTAAGTGGGTATTTGAAATAGGAAAAAGCTGTTTGTATTTTGTGACCTGAGAGCACAGGCTGGGGAGAACAAGTGGCATGGGGTGGGGAGAAGAAATCACAGAATCACAGAGGAAGTTGACTTGGAAGAGACCCACAAGGATCATCAAATCCAACTCCTGATCCTGCACAGCACCATCCCCAAGAGTTACATTGTGTGCCCAAGGATTTGTTGTCCAAAAATGATTCTTAACTCTGTTAGGCTTGGTTGATGCAGTCCCTACACCAAATGCCAGACTGGTGGGTGCACACACAGACCCCAAACAGTGACAGGTCTGTAGCAAGACCCTGCTGTAGATGCTCCTACCCTACAACAGTGCAGTGCCCACAYAGCAGTGATGTTAGCAGAGGGAATGGCCTACCTTGTCCAGAAAGATCCACTGTCTTTTTGTGTGTTTCACTGCCATCAAAGAGTTCCATTATRTATCTGCCTTTGTCCTGTGGAGTTGGCTCATTGATCTGCAACCAGATCTGCTCCCCGGTGACACCAGTCCTCATTCGGTCTGTGAACTTAATCTGGGTATCACTGAAAAGTACAAAAGAGTTGTTACCATTTTGTTTTACTGCAGTATAGAAAGAGTTTGCTCACGTTGAGTCACAGAGCACATCTGGAGTTTCTAGATGATTTCCAAGATGCTATGGTATGCCACCATAATCTGAAACTTTTGAAGTCAAATCCTTGCTAGAATTGTGAGCCAACTGGGCAGAATTGGTGCAACAGTCTTTCCCTGTCCATTTGTCCTCAGAGCTTGCACAAAAATTATGCATCTCAATCTATAACCTGAGCCACAAAAAAGCTTGCAAGTCTAAAACCTGACCTCTGAAGGGTAGCCCAGGCATCCCCAACTGTTGCTGTTCTCTTTTTAGCATAGGTTTAGCTCTGCTTGGGCAAGACAAAACCATACAGGTCCATATGTACAAAAAACTCCACTTTTGTCACAAATGGTGTTTGCCCACCTGGGATGTTTTCTGATGCTCTTCTGTTTGGCATTTATTTGAACACACTTTGATATAAATATATCTTCTTCCATAAAAAGCAACCTAAAACCCACCATTTTTAGCTTCCTAGCTAAGCAGTTAATTTCCCTTGATGATGCAAAGGATATTTGTCAAACAAGATACTCATTTCCTTGTTATCTTTAAACTGATAACTTTGAATGCACTGGAGGGAAAAAAACTATTTTTTTRTAGATTAATTTGGCATGCTTCAAGATAAAACAAGTTTCTAAAAATRAAATGGAGAAAAGATAGAAGAAAGGAGAAAGGGGGAAAAACCCTGGAATACTTCATATGTGCTTACACTGATTTGAAATACTTAGGACTTTTGATGATACCAGCTCAAAATGGGTGCCAAGGAACAAGAAGGCCTCAGAGTGCTTTCATTTCTCTGACAGGGTGCTGGTYAACATCAGTGTCAATAATTACAGCAAGCTTGGTACAGCACATCCTGRGTATTCTGTGCCTCATTTACATGAGTTTCATTGAGAGATCAGCAATTCAGATTCCRTCATAGAGACTAACTACTACCATGTCTACAGGAAGTGAAACAGCAAGAATAGTAGTAATAGATTTGAAATTATCTAAATTGTTTACTTCTCTTGTTTGCTTCTCTGGGTTTTCCAGCGCAAACCGTGCTGGCTGAGARCTCAAAGCTCTCTCGTGGATTTGGATGTGCAACTCCTGTTAATTTTATGGGGAGCTGGGCATTCAAATTCTTTTTTAAAATCTCAGTCCTTCTGTCTGTGTTGGTTAGGTTTGTAGTGTTTGCAGGAGGGACTGTCTGGATTTCATTGCCCCGGGCACATGCTGGAGTTTGCTTTGCCTGCTAAAAATGAAGCCATGCGTTAAGGGGATACTCCTGCTTGTCCCAGTTCCACTGAGCTGTGGCTTCTGGACAAGCAGACCTCCAGGGAGGGTATCTCTGCACCCACGGTGCTGGCTGCTTTTGAAGCTTGATGGCCTCACAGGTTATATTTGCATCACTCCTTAAAACAGAGTGAGGGAGAGATGCAGCCCCCACTGGGGAGGTGACAGGTTCCTGAAGCTGCACCATCCTGCTGGCATCCTGTGGCATGGGACTGTTTGACGAGAGAAATGACAGSAGCGCCTGGAACCGCCACACCTGGCTCTCCTTCTGATTTCATGTGAACGGAATTGATTGAAACAAACTCATGAGATAAGGACCCGTGAGAGATGAGAAGAAACCTGGGCCCTTCTCTCTCACATATCCAGGTTCTTTCTGAATCTGTAAATCCAAAATGGCACTGTTTTGCAAAGCTCTTRTGTACTTACTTGTGCACCCAGCCTACTCTCAAATCTTCCACGTAATAAGTGACATAGGAGTACAGYCTGATACCCTCAGCTGTGCTCTGGATTTTCAGGTCTGTTGCAGATAAAGCTGAAAGAAGAGCACATGGTTTTATGCAGCCATACAGCCATTCACTGACTGCCACAATGAGTCATTCATTCGAAAAAAGRATTAAGTGCTTACCAATCCTTCTGCATACTTCATTCATCAGATCTGCAAAAGCTGTGGAAATAAAACCCAGAGACTAAGACTCAGTGTCTGCAGTTCAAGCACAGTCAATAGTACGACAAGTACTGGCTCTGAAATATTCTCCCCAAAAGGTTTGGAAAAGCAATCTTGGAAAAAGCTACCTTTTAAAGCGTATTAGATATCTGAGTAATGCAGCCTGATATGTCATAATTTCCAGACTTTAGTGAAGTGTAGCCTTGATAAATGCTGCTGCAGCTGAACAAAACTTTTTTTTTTTTTTTTGTAAATAACACTATTCAGCTGGAATGCTAACCCGTCTACATACAGTCTAATGGATGGGAGTGAAATGTTTAAAATATAGTAATCACAATAAATGGAAAGGCCCCAAGTAATTGGTAAAAAAATAATAAAAATATTTTAAAATTATCTGTATTATTTTTTCTATACTTGTAGGCTTATTGATGGCCCCCTGAGGAAATCTGTTCTCATTTTGCTTAGCGTTAGCCATTGTATGCTCCCAAAATTATACAGAGCCCAGATGCAATAAGCTGTATTCAAATGTTATTTGAACTGAAAAATCTCAGTTTTTCTAATCAGATGATCTTGTATACACGAGGARCAGAGCCACAGGAAGGCAGCATGAGCAGATGTCTTATTACTCTGAACCCCCTTTGGTCAGGCTATCCACCAGAGTGGCTGACAGCATGCAGACTGACCTGTGTCCTTCAGCTTTAGCTCACTGGAGTCCTTTCCTCTGTCATCCTTCAGTATGACCTCGTATGTGCCAGCATCTTTCTTAGAAAACTGCAATATTGTAACAATAAAAACTGCTTTCAGAATAGGTACTGTAGAAAAATCCAGATTTTTCTTCTGAACCCAGCTGATATCCCATCCCTGTCCCCAGGGAGGTACCCGATGCCTGGGGCTGYCCTGGTGCCCCCCAACTGCCCTGCTCCTGGCTGGGGTGGTGGGAAGGGCTTTGGAAGGGCATCCTGGATCTTGTCCCATGCCACATCTGCTGGATGGACCAGACCCCTCTGGTGACTGAAACTCTGGTGACTCTGAAAGCCTGAGTGACAAGCACTTTCCAAATGCTATTCAAAAAGGAAATTTGGTCTCAATCTGTTGYTAAATTGACATGCAGAGGAAGTGACAAGCTTATTATCTCTTCTGTCATCATTTCCTGAAAATCCGAASAAGCAGTTACAGACAGACATTTGCTAAAACACAGACGCCTTGTGAGCTTTTCCATTTTTAAAACCCACTTCCTTTTTAAAGTGCTCTGCTGGAGTACAGATTAGATCATATAATTCATCTGAGTTCATAACACTAATTTCAGCTGAGGGCTAATGAGGACAGGCACTCACCTCTGATATCAGCAGYGTACACACACCATCCTTAAAGTCATGTTCTTCATCTACCATTATCTCCCTGTCATCTTTGTACCACACAATGTGTGTTTCCTTCTTAATGTTAGCCACCTGAGATGGATGAAAACCACATTGCAATTATTCTCTTCATTTGAGCTGGGAAAGTCAGTTTTGCATGGGTTAGCTAGTTCCATGGGTTAGCTTGYTCCATGAGTTAGTTTGTTCAGGTCTCTCACAAAAGAATTTTAAATAAAGCAAGCTTTACCACTTGATTGAGTGAGTTACTGCAGGTCTCCATTTTAAACTGAGGGAGGCAAGAGGGAAAACAGCAGGGATGAAAATGAAGAGAAAAGGAACCCAAAGAAATGAGTGGCTCCTGCCCAGGGAATTTCTACTTGCAKAAACAGGTCAAAAATGAGTAATTCCCTAGATTTACAAAGACCTGTCATTCCTTTTCAGKTATCCTTCTCTGAGTGGGAGGCTGATAGACCTGAAGAAAGAAGTTCAAGCTATTTTCCCATGTATTTGGTTGCATGCAGTGAGCTGTTGCCCCAGCATGATTCACCTTCAGARGCTCTGTCACTGTCCAGCACACAGTCGGGAGTACAAAAGCAAAGGCCATGTCTTTAGTCCCTTCCCATCCTCACCATCTGGGTGGTGGTAGGGCAATGTACTCTGGACATTGTACTCAGTGTTTTCCTCGCCCCTTACCTTACATTTCAACATCACATTACACTCATCRGTAACTTCCCATCCCAGTTTATCCACGAAATGAGGACCTGTTGGAAATTACAGGTATGTTTTTAAAGGTCACATCCATGGTATTCATGATGCAAAATGAAAGACAGATGTGTTTTAATTGGCAAGAACGCCGTGATATTCTAATGTTGTTTTATTTTTCYTATTTCTTCTTCAGAATAAAGTAATCATGTAACAGAACAAAACACTTCTATTTCAAATTCAAATTAACATGTATAAATACAAACAAACTCTTAGCAGATGAACACATGTGTTATTCTTATAAATATTCATATTGTCACCTTGTTTCCTGTGCCACTCTTTTCTCTGGAAATCTGCTTCATCCCGTAGCTTCTTGAATACTAGGAATTAAAACCAGAAAGAAATACAAGATTAAACTTCATGTGTGGTTTCTAGGGCACTGAATGTCAYTGTAACAGTTTGGTCTAACTCTGTCCTTTGGACATCAGTGACAATCTRGCCATAGGATCGGGTTTTCAGTGGWCATTCCAGAATGTCAGAAGCTGATTAGGGCTAACTCAACTTTCCTAGCTGCTTACAGTCATCAGGAGTTTAATGTGTCCTGTCTGATGATGTKCAATCCCCAGTCACACAGCTCCTGCTAGGAAGGCAAATAAGCATCAGCAGAGTCAGCAGCTGCTTGAGCTCTGACAGGTGCAGCTGCTTGTTCCCGGCTGAACGGGCTTTTTATATGGGAAATTTAAATTCTGCCCGTAGAAAAGCAAACCACAACATGCTGCAATATTTTACACTTCTGTAACAATTCCCCTTCCTCCCATCATTTTAAAAATTTCAGTTCACACACATGGCCCGTCCTGTAGGAGGCAGGCAAAACTGTGACATAAAAAAATGGAACATCTAGTAGTGTTGGAAACAGTGGAAAGTGAAGATGACCACTGAGGTAACCTCTCTATAATTTTTTCTAGCCCACTGTGTAATACAGATTAACATACCATCGCCAATGAGGACAAGACTMGATTGATTGGTTGCTTTTCCATCCTGCAGCTGGAAAGTGTAAGTGCCTTCATCCTTTTCCTCAAGTTGATCCATAATCATTTCAATAAGGCCTGTCTTCTGGTCCACCTTCATTTTATATTTCTTAAGGAGTGGAAAGCAAAACAACAATTAATACATATCAGAGACAAAATATTTGTGAAATGTCATAATTGTCTCTTTAGGAGAAATTATGTTTTCTTTGTTTGGATTCCCACTTATTTGGGTTCCCATTTGTYCAGATCCCTATCCTATTCTAGATTCACTATCCCTAACACCAGCTCCAAGCATACAGCCAAATAAATAAATAAATCTGTGTATTTATTGGTGTTGTACAAGAACAACATGCCTGTCGTACAGCGAGTACTATGTTCCTTCTCATTAGAAAGATTTAGATTAGCATCTCTTCAGAATAATGATTCTTTGAGGATGGTTGTTTAATACGTCTATGTCTAGAATGTTCCATCTCTGCCTTCTCTCTGATATCAGTGTTGCAACAAAAGCATGCCGTGTCCTGTCTTTGGGAGTAACCAGTTCTTCTGCTGGAAACAACCACTTGGGAATTTTTCTATGATGTAATAAATTCCTTCAAACCACAAAGAGAGGTGAGAACCAAGCACAAGGGTATTCTACTGCCACAGCTGAAGGAGGTAGGCTGAATCTGGGCTATTGCAGTGATTCCTTGAACACCACAGTTAACAGAACACRTAGTACTCACAAGGCAGCAGGAAGGCATTTAATTTCCCTTTGTAAAATGCATCCAGTAGAATTCATCTGGAGCTGAGAGCTAAGGACAAAATCTTTCTAATTATGCTTTCCATGACATATGTATTTCTCATGAAAATGTATCAGAGTGGAGCACTGGTTGGAAGTATATTGAAAATAGAGACACTAATCCTTATTGATACTCATGAAAATGCAAACACRTGTAAGCAGTGAAAAGCCTTACCTCTCCATTGAAAATCTCCTTATCATTGAACACAAAGTTGGCCTTTGCATTGCCAGACAGCTTTTCAGCTTGCAGCCAGAATCTCACTTCTCCTTTTTCCAAGATTTCCACTGCCAGCTCAGAGGTRAGTGGGACAGCTACAAGGAAGAAGGAAAAGAACGAGGCATATATTTTGCCTGTGCCCCAACAACTCTTGTCTTCTATAACCAGAAATCTACTTTAGTCCTTCCATACTGAAATCCTGTGTGCAAGGTAATGCTAATAACAGCTTTTCATATTGACCAAATGCCTCTTCACCCACGTGTACATAAGATTTAATCTTTKGATCCTTCAATCACAAGGTCTGTTCAAACTGAAAGTGTTCAGGATTTGAGTTGTGCTCCATTCTAATACACGGCTGTTTCAAATGTCAATTGCAAGTATCTATGCAGCATTGTGAGAGTCTGTGTGGTGCAGACCCATGTTTAATGAGTTGTCTGATAATATAACGGCAAGACAGTGAACTGACTCAGAGGGGAAAAAACCCAAACAAAACACAAAAAAAAAACAAAAAAAAAAACCAAGCACAAAACCAGGTCAGAAAGTCAGCTGCTTAGCTGCAGGTTGGGAGATTTTTGTAAAATCTGCTGAGTTGAACCTCCATCTTCAGAATTCACCAAGTATCACAACACACCGTCATTCTTCCCAGTAATTTTGTTTTCCTATGAATAATCGAAACTCCCATATATAAACCAATTCAATGTGTCAACAGGGAAATGAAAGCAAAAATCACGTGCYACACCAYAGGTAATATTAGYCTGTGTTTTTCACTTRGTTTGTTCCYGGTAGTAAGAGTCCTCAGCTTGCTWTCACTTTAACTTTTCTTTAAGGCACCATCAGCAGCAGCATTAAGCATGAGTAGTTAGACTCTGACAYTGGGGCACATTGCTCATTTTATTGACTTCCATCATGTTATCTGTCTCAGTGGATGTTCAGATTCTCAATAGAAATCATACTCTGAGGATTACGTGTGCTGCTGTGTGTGAACTCTCCCCCAGGCTCTCCTTTCTCAGCGGTGTAAAGTCTGCACTCCCTGGGTGTAGCGTGGAAGAGCTGAGRACAGCACACAAACACGTTGCAGAGCACATGATGATGCAGTCTGATGATAAAGTGTAAAGACACACCTCCCAGGGCAGGCTGGTTTCTTTAGCTCAGTGTGTGCAGAGGCTCAGCTGCAGCAGGAGAGGACTGGGATCAAAGCACTGTCTGATTTCTCTCATCTTTCTTTTTGTACCCTTCTAAATGACCGGGGTGCCTGCTGGAGCACGGCTGCCATCCCACAACACTGCCAAACTCAGGGGGTGAGGGCCCCTCAACTCTTCCTCTGCCAYGCTCACCCCTCCTCCCTCCCACACCCCACAGCCACGAGTGTGCTTTGCGTGCCTGAGTGGCACAGGCTCTGTCTCTGGTAAAAATAAASCTCCTGGGAGGTGAGGCAACAGCCRAAGGGAAACAAAGGGAATTATGGAAAAAGGCACATGCTTAACCCAAGAGGGAAAATCCTGGAGCCTGGAGGGGCAGCAGGGCAAAGACAACCCCATGGAAGTGTGTCCCAGCTCTGAGAATGGTCTGTGTGAGCCTTCCTCACCCAGCACATCACTTGGTGTGTAAGAAACAGAAGGAATCTCTTGACTTGCACAATTTCTTAAAACAAAGCAGCTGAAACGCTACAGGAAGCAAGTAGGAGTGTGAATAGACATCAGGCTGAACGGCTTTTGTCTCACTGTCAGCTCTACRGCAATTTTAAACCCCCACTTGGCTTGCCTGTTATTAACTAAGAATATCTTAGTCTAACATGGAAGAGAGAAAAGTATCTCAGCAGCTGTTTAATAAAGGGCTGAAAGGATGCAAAAGGATTTTTTTTTGGAGAAAAGTCTGATTACTCCTCAGCCCAAAGTAACTGGACAAATCTGCATTACAGTCTGCCATGAGCAAAAGTCTTATTTTAAAATATTTCCATAAGCACTAACAGCTATTTTAGGCATTTTCCAGTGGTTTTACATCCTATTTGTATGGCATCACAAATTACTGGCAGCAACTGACAGGCAGTCCTCGGGCAGTTGCTAAATTGAGGAGCTGGAAGAGTTCCTTTTTACCTCACACCAACACACTGCCATACCCATACATAGCTGGGTTCAGYAAGGCTGTTATTCAAGCAACCCATTTCCCATGGAGTTACTGGCTGCRTGTGTTTCTAAGCAGAATTCCCATTAATTGCTGCTCAAGCATACACACAGCCAATTCTCAACCTCTAGCTGTAATATATATTTTTCTTGAAGTGTGCACAGGGCCTGGAGYGRCCAAAGCAAATCAGTTTCCTCCTTAAAGATACTTTCTGCAGCGATCTCCCTTTTTGCCTGTGCCTTCTGGAAGCTCATGCACAACTCTGAGTATGCTGTTACCCAATTCAGTGCAAAAAAGAGGACACGATCTGWGTCCTGAGGAGCTTATTTTGTGACGTTAGCAGTGAGCACAAAGTGTGGAAGAGTCCTCAGAAGGGAAGGGTCAGGGCAAGTAAGGTCTCGTGACAGCAGCAAGGTTTTGCAGTGACCGACTTCCACTGTGAAAATGTAATTAGGAGAAGATAATTGGGAGGAGCAGGAGTAAACAAGGGTATGTTTGGGCTGCCATTAAGCTATCAAAGGGCAATGCAGCGTGTTGAGAAGAGTAGAGCTGATGATAAAAACATGAAGAAGGAAATGAGAAGCAGAGATGATGTAGGCAAAAAGGCAGACCATTTCTGTAGTCAGATACTGGCTGGGCTGAGAGGTGCGATGTGGGCTGAGTTGGAAGAGGTGCCAGCAGTGCATGCACTGAGCTGAAGCTTTTAAAATGCAGGCAAGAGYTTTAGCACCTTGAATGATAAAGAACAGAATATAGGGGGAGAAAATGAGACCCAGTTTAGGTCTCATCTTGTTGCGTGCATTAAGGTCTATTATGCAATCCAATCTTATTTTCCCCCCATTTATTCAAGTAACATTCCAAAGAAAATAACCAAATTGTGCTACTACCAGGATATCATAATTGTCTGTGGASCTGACAAAAATACCATCCCAGCAGTAGAAAGCATGTTCATATTTTGTCAAATGTTCCAGGAAAGAGGGAGAGAATGACTTTCAGCAGGAAAATTCTGTATGTATAGATCATTACACGCTGAATTTACTACACTTGCCAACTTTGTTAACCTTAAATTTAACTTATGCTAGCTTCTGTTGGAGTAAAATTAGAGAATCTTTTAAATTCTGGTTTTCAAATCAGTCCAGGCACGCTGAATAAGTATTAAAGCCTGTTCTGAAGAAACAAAGCCAATATGATACTGATTTTCCAGCTGTTACATAGACTTATAATATAGGCCAGTATCCTGCAGTAGCTTGGGAAGAACATCAGTAATACACAAACATACTGAAAAAGAGAGAGAGAGAGAAAAAAGGAATCTTGAATTTTTCAATACAAAGCCACTTGCACTTGAAATTACAGTAGTGACCTCCCTGCCTGATGATGGCAGGAGCTTTGTGATCATAGAATCATAGAATGGTTGGGTTGGAAGGGACCTTCAGAGGTCCAACATCCTGATATGAACAGGGACATCTTCAACTAGATCAGGCTCGTGATACCCCACTGCATGCAAAGCTCTSCCCTACAGACACGATTGATTCACTTACTCGGGAATTGGCGTTCATGGCTCAGGGCAAGCAGGCGTTTCATTTCTGCAAAAGGCATTAAAAAAATGAGGTGAGAGCATGCCTTTTGGATCTGGGAGACACAGCAGCAGGGAAAAACAGATGTGAAAGCAAACTCGGCATGCTTAGAAGGCRTCGTGTCTACCTTCCTCATCAATTGTGTAGCTTGATGAAGCTCCATCKGTGTCCGTGACAATACAAGAGTAAATTCCCAAATCATCTTCTCCAAGATCCTTAAAGGAAAGTTTTGACCTATAATGGAAAAAAAAGCATTGTGATGAAAAGATTAAGCCCATCTGAACCAAACCCCTCCTTTCCGTCTGTAACACCAGATATAAAGAGCCTTGGGTTAGCTTTTGCTCTGACTGCACAGCCAAATGCACAGCTCTGTCRTCATTGGTGACCCTGGAAGGATGCTGTACACACTGGACAACTCAGTTTCCATGTGCAAMAGCATGACTGTGGTGCTCTGCTGTGCCTTTCCATCTGGCTTCTGTCACTAGAAGAGCACAAATGCCCTTCATGGGCTGAACCTGTGCATTCACCTTGACTTCCCCTGGGAAAAGCCTGAAGAAACAGAGTAGGCTCGGAGACTGTTATGTAAGTTACTAAATCAGGCCATGGCGATGCCATCATGAGAAAGTTTTGCTTACTGCAGCAGTTCCAAAGATTACAGCTGTGTTACATGGCAAAAGCATTTTGTAAGCTGACAGATAATTTTATTCTTCGGAGATTTACAAAAATAATAATAACAACAATAACAATAACAATAACAATAATAATAATAATAATAATAATAATAATAATAATAATAATAGTAATCTGCCTTGATTGGCAGGTTATAAGGTGACAGAGCACAGATTTTCTCTCTCCTAAACATCTCTAAATTGCCTAGGGAGGAGGCCTGTCTCATTCTGTGCAAGCTCCAATTTCCAGAGCACTGGAGACCGGTGTTCTCAGGAATTAGCCTGCAAGTACCAGAGGCAGATTTAACTCTTCCTGAGGTCATACAWCAGCAGGATGGATTTCTGTGACAGCCTAGATCTCTCAGACACGAGACTATTGCTACCCYTGAGGGTCTTACTTTCCGCCTTTGGTGTCGATGTTCAGTCGAGAGTCATCCTCAATTGGTTCGTAGTTCTTGGACCAAATGAACTTAGAGTCTGGAGACATCTGATCACACTCGAAGTTCAAGGAAATKACTCCATTGTCATCTACATCAACCACCACTTCCTTGGTTCCTTAAAGARCAGAACAAGGCAATTCCAGTTTCTCAGAGAAGTCAGCAAATTCCTATAGCTATCATTCAGATGGTGGATTAARCAGATCCTTGCCATTTTCTCAGCCGGAGCACAAATTCTACACTCATTGATATCCTTGATCCTTGATTCACAAGAATCGTTCTTTTTCTCACCCAGAGGTTGAAAAGCATCATAAACCAACCGATTTGAGTGAACCTAACCATCTAAGAGATSCTTAGAGTTGTAATATTTGCTGTGAAAAAGCCTGAAGAGGATGCAAAAACCAAGCCTCTAAATCCACTAAATGTTTGAAATATTACATAGGAATATTTTCCATGGTAAGGAGTAGTTAGAGCTKTCATTATGCAGAATGAATTTCCTATTCTCTAATAAGGGAAGAGCCATACAGGGAATAATGTGCAAATGTGGCCTTAGAAGAGGTGAGGAAGAGGAAGCAGGCGAGTCACCCCAGCAGCGCACACTGGTGACTGAGGCACATTTTCRGTGACACTGGCTTCGCTCAGGGAGGTTGGTTTAATTGCTGTGCTTGGCATCCAGCCCTGCTGCCGTCTGCACCATTAATCCTGGGCCCACAAAGGGAGTGAATATTTGCAATTAGCTGCTTAAGTCACCCACCCAGTCYTGCCAGTACCTTCAGTGCTCCAGCTGGACAGGGTGACCCAGTTTGTCCTTTCAAAGGCCTTGGGGGTGAATCCCAGGTCAACAACCTGAAGGCGCCTCTATTCTGCTGCTCCCTCACACCCCAGTGGAGCTGAGGGAATTTCTTCTGGGATTTGGGCAACTCAGTGAGCTTGTCATCTGTGGCATTAAWGCTCATTTCAACAACTTGTCTGAGAATGTCAGGGAGAGCATGTGCACTGAGAGGTGCTGGAGAACATCCAGCCTTCTTTTCTGAGCAGCTCTGAGCTGGATCTCGCATCTGAATAGGGCACTCATGTCCTGTTACTTGGGCTAAGACAATTCTGGGCTGCCCAGAATACTAATGACACACTTTCTCCACCAAGTATTGTACTTTASAGACAAGAGCCTTACTCCTGACACTGAGATTAAATGCTTTATTTTCAGCATCRTTCTTAGTGGCCCTCAAGCAGACAAGAGATTTCTGTGTTTCATCGTCCTAATACTATACACATCTTTTCCAGCACTGCGAGCAGYTCCTGTCATGACAATTTGTGTACACACTGCTTTCTTCATCTTTACACTTTGCCATAAGCAATTTGTGAAAGATGAGATTAATATTCCCATTTTGGTACTGTTATGTGCCAGCCCTTACAGTAGCAAAGCACATTAAGTACCAATATGTGATAAATGAAGTCTAAGGCTTGCAAATATTTTACTTTGCAATTTTYTGTTGTAATTTAATTTATTATGTGCAGAATTCATCACGTGAAATTTCATTAGTGTTTGCTTTACTGTAGATCATTAGCACATGAATCTTTTGATGGCAGCTTATGTGATGTGGAAAGAARTACAGCCATAAGGTTAATTTGAACAATAGAATCTTTTGCATTTGTTTTAAAGCATTCTCATTATGACAAAAATGCATAGCATTTATTTCCAGAAGTGAAGACGGAATTTATCTCTAATATTTGTATGAGTAAAAGTTAAATTATTAACCACRTCTGAAGACCTCTCCACCTATCCTGCAAAACAGAGCCAAAGAAGCTGCCATAGTACTAGCAGTCCTAATTTCCCTCCTCTAGATAAGTTTGGTGGTTTCAACATGTCATCCAGTGCTTTTCTTGGAGTCATAGTAAGAAATAAAATACTTAGGTGTCATATCACATCTCCACTTATCCGAGCATTTCATTGCATTGAAAGGRAAGAAGTAAAGCAGTCATCTTTGAAACACAGGAGGTAATGGCATAATTTTAAATACARTTAGTCAGAAAAGTTGGATGGGACAGAGTTTCATCAGTTTCTGAAGTTCAGGCCCTTTTCAAGTGGCTGATGCAGGCTCATAATATAGTTTTGCTTTGTGTCAAGGTAAACAAAGAYTAAGGGCAGCAATGGGGAAGAGTTKCAGTCTGCTCTTGGATTTCTCTTGTTTCCTGTGAGATCCATGGTTGCTGAAGTGCTTTTGTCAAAAGCCAAACTTACAGCTCAAAAAAAGTGGCCTGGKTGGGTATTTGTTTACATGGTGGRTATTTTWAATTTAATTTTTGAAGATAACTGTACAAACTAAACATGGTTTTCAAAGAAAAGAAGGTGGATGCAAGGTATTGAATCACTATATTTACACATTTTTTTTGATAAAGAAAACTGGTACCCTTGATATGAATGCAGGTATTTTTGTTCAGKGTATTATTTACTTGCAACTTCTGATTAGAAATCTCAGTTGTCTTGCGATTTTACACATTTGCCAAAAGTAACATTCCAGCAGGAATGACAATATTTTATCTCCATCCAAGGTGGTAATACAGGCAGGATTYATTTGGCAGCACCAAAAGATCTGTGGTAATTTTTAAAAAATTTGAATGATCTTGACATTTTTGTGGTTTGAGTAAGAAAGGTGGAGGCTGTCTTATGAAATAATTGTTTTAAATAAGATTTTTGTATTTTCTTAATACCTTTAAGAAGCTTAGTTTGGTGGATGCTCTTTCAGCAGATTTCAGCTCTAAATATGGGTCAAGTAGATTTGTACACATCAGTAATTTTTAGTTTCCCTGGGTTGTCACTGGSCTAAATCTTGTCTTTCTGGTGATTTCTCAGATGTTATACCTATGGACCCTCCTTCTCTAATGGTGAGGTCTGCAAACAAAATGTTCTGCTCAAGTTTTCAAGAACAAATTTTTAAGTTTTTTCTCACTCACTTGCAGGGGATAGAAATAGCCCTGGTGCTTCAGCAGCTTATAGATCTGAAATTAGGATTCCTATATTTTGCAAAGATCCTGCTTCAAACCCTTCTTACTTACACATGCTTTTTGGTCTTCGTATCCCAATCTTGTACATTTTCAACTGACCATCTACTTCTTCCAGTCCCTTTTTCCCATCCCAACCTCACTAGCAGTCACTTCAGTCTCCTCACTCTGAGTTTTCCAACTCTTTTACAACCCCCAGCTTCAGACCTCCTTTTTCAGRCTTTCTTGGCTCACAGCCTCACTGAAGGCTGTAACTCAATACTTGTTAGAATTTTTGCAGCCCTGATCTTAAGGACTGGACATCTGTGAGAGTTGGGCAAGTGCTGCTGTGCAAACAGAAAATCTAAAAATGAACCTGTGGGTCAGAAACATGGAAAGGATCCCAGGGAAATGAAGTCTGCAGGGGTAGGAAGGGAGCTTGCCAGAGGACAAGAGGGYACATGGTGGATCCAGGCTGGGTTGTACCCCTGTACCTTCTTACATCATACAAATCTTTTACCAGATTTGGTTAAAATATCTGGGAATTCTTGTAGGACCCTGAACTTCTAAAGTAGTCTATAGATGAGTAAGCCACAAGTCCRTGCTTGTGTTTTCTGTCAGGGACTYGGTGACAAAAGGGTGCTGTCTCTGACCAGTCACCTATTTTACTTGTACAGTTAAATAAATCCCAGGGGGCTCCTGAAGCTCCAGGCATGGAGATGCTGCCTCTGCACTGGTTCCTGTGTTTCTTCTGGTCTTACAGACACACTGGAGCCAGACTTCAAGGGTCACTCCAACAAAGAGTTGCACTTGAGTTCCTACTGGAAGTGGTCTCTAAAGTGACTCTGTTRTGCTTTTAAAAGCTTTCTTTTAAAGACCAAGGGAAAAAAGTAGTTTCTTTTACTGTTTCCTGAGGTACATTATGTACAAAAAGAAGAACGATAAAGCATAAGCAACCAGTTTAGTACAGGAAGGGCAAAATTTACATCTGCAATATTGCTTGGTTGAACTGATTTTACTGGATCCTCTGCTTATGCACCTATCGCTAGGTACTTGCAAATCTTACAACTTTATTGTATCTTTATATTCCTGAACTTGTAGTTATGATAAGAAAATCTGTTCTGACCTGAAAATATACCAGACAAGGAATTWAAGATATGGCCCTCAACTCATATCTTGCTTCATAAAAAAGCTGGACTTGAGAGGGATCAGATTCTTGGCATGTAGCCTGCAGGTAAAYACATTGCACAAACAGGAACCTGTGTCAATATGACGACAAAGAGGAAGTATTTCTAACAAACCTGGTCGTGTTTCAGCTATGACAGCATCTGTGACATCTGATGGTTTCCCAACACCRGCCTGGTTTGTTGCCCGCACACGAAACACGTAGCTCACACCTTGAGTTAGGCCACTTATCTGGAGAATCCAAAAACACACAGATGATATGTTGAAAAACACTGATTTTAATTTCATACTTATTAAGATCAGTCTAGGTATTTGACAATTCCATTTCCTTTCTTGTTTTGTTTTTCTTTTCCAGTTCTTTTTTTTTTTYAGATTCAGCTCCAGAGTGACATGACTAATCCGTGTGACTTGCTCCTTCCTYGTGTGCGTGGTTAATGTTCAGGCAGCGTCACTGCTCTCATTGATTTCTTTGCAAAAGGAGCATTGGTTTTGGAACAGAATGTTTTTAACTCATGTACGTTGACCTTTGAAACATCATAGTCTTTTACTGCAGATAAATGCTGGCTTTGAAAAATGAAATTATCAGGGAAATAAGTGCCAGCCACACCTGTTTAGAAACAAGAGGGCATTTAATTGTACAGACTTAATTGCAGTGACTTGAGGAATTATACTGACATTTTATCACCTCTGAATACTCCTTCAAAACATATATGAAAGGATCACACTTCAAAGTGATTTGTCTTTCAAATATTCTGAAAAGCATAAAAATAGCAACTCTACTTCAGACATATCTCTAGAACTGAGATACTGATGCTCTTATTTAGAAGTCATTCCACAAAGTTATGTGCCATAATAAATGCAAAAAAACTTGGGTTTAACTTGCTGTGACATGTGAAGAGAGGATACTGAGTATTAGAAAAGYCACTAGCCACATTATCATATCTGGGTTTGTGCCATCTGTTTTCCTACAGTGTTACCCTCTGAGCCAGAAAATGCTAGGGATACTTCCTGTCACAAGAATGGTATTTGGGTTTAGCAGTGCTTTGTTGTATTTTTAGGCTTGTCAGTTTGTCTTTGGAGTTACTCTCTTGTCTGACTATGCAGGTATCCTTGGCCGACTGATAAGTGGGGCCATGATCAGCACAGGATGATGCTATCCATGACTGACTTCCTCGAGGTTGTGCTGCTATCCCCGTATTTGAATCTTCAGCTTTTTACCTTCAAGTATTTCTTTTGAAGCGGCTTCTCATTGACACTTCTCCAGCGTTCCTCCTTTGCTTCAGTTTCCTTCATGTCAACGTAATAACCCACYACGGGACTACGACCAGAGTAAACTGGCTCCTTCCACAGCAAAACCAGAGAGTCCTTCCTRACTTCTGTGCATTTGACATCATGAGGTGGCCCTGAAAGGTGAAAGTTGGAGTTGTGATGTCAAAATAAATACTGAAGGGACCAAAGCATAAGACTCCAGAACCCAAAATCAGACAGAACCTAGAGCTGTACWCAGGACTTGCATAACATTTAGCTCCTCTGTGTCATATCTGGACCTAATGTAAACACAACCCATGCCAATTAAAAAGACTAGCCCAAACCCCAATCAAATTGGTTGAGATTGGTATCTTGGTCAAATATTCATGAGCTTACAAAATCAACAAATAATCTCCAAACTCRGGGAAATAAGTTAATTGTTAAACTAATGTGCTGCTTCAAGGACTGGTCTAAAGTCCACTGAAGTCAGTGGAGGTTGTTTTCATTCATTTTGATGAATATTWAAAGGTCAGGGGTCTGGCCTTGTAGTGATACATTTAGATAAAGGTTACAAGACCTCATTCTTCTCCACCTTGTACCTTAGAGAGTTATTTATGTCTAGAAAGCAAAGTGCCAGACACCGTGGAGGAACTGAGCAGGAAAGATTAAAAAAAAAAAAAAACAAACAAACAAACAAAGAAAATCCAAGCTGCTTGTAAAATGCTACTAATTAAATAGGGTTTATGTAATGCATCATTGTAATGGCACTAAATCAAAGTGCTGGGGCATGAACTTCAGTGCCCCGTTGGCTCCCCTGCAAACTGCCTGCATTAGATAATTGTCCCACTCAGGATCCTACCAGGCACAGCAATGCTCCATTCTTCRCATTTGAAGGGATTGCTGGGTTTGGAGGGTCTCCCAAGCCCYGCCAGGTTAGCAGCAGCCACCTGGAACTGGTACACCATGTTTTCCTTCAGGTCTTGGATCTGCARGATCAATAAGATGGTACTTATTAACTTTGATTCAAGCTTCAGAAGGAAGTCACAATGACARTTATTGAATGTGGGAGCATGCTTTTCAGTGTGCCTGAAGATGGAAAGCATTATTGACAACTTAAGGTGATAACTATCTTGGCTTTTCCTCTGATCAGTGATGGAGCACACATGAGTGATCTTAGCACMCTCAAATTGCAAACCCCTTTTTTCTATTGGCAGGCACTTTGGTAGTCAGGGAGGAAACAGGGTATTGCTCAACAATCATCTTAGTCCCGTGGTACGGAGCAAGTTCACGTAAGGCAAGAGTTGTCCTCACAGTGAGGTGAAACTCAGCCCTGGCATTGCTTTTCATTTCTAAAGCAGCTCAACAAGGTTGTAGTTAGCTCTGTCCCTAAATTGGGTCAAGAACTGATCACAAAAAGCAGCTGGCACAGAGCTGGTTTCAGCACCAGCAAGTACTGGGATATGTCCACCAAAACAGTAGGAATTCCATTTATTGTGAGGACCTGACTYAGAAATATCAGACTACGTCAGTGAATTTACAGTTAGTGCCAGACTAACAAATAAGTGTACAAACAACTTTTCAGAGAAGTTTRATAGAGCTAAATAAATTTACCATCATGTATTTAAACCCTCTGAACAGTTACCCAAACACTGAATTGTAATTCATCCCAACCTCCCTTTGAGATTTGATTTGAAAATACTGTCCACTCCCCCAGCAATAACAGGAATTAACCTCTTACCCTGTATGCCCTCTCAGTAACAGCCTTGATGTTGGCCTCCTTCCAYTTCCCAGGAACTCCATCCACCACTTCCCGGTAGTTCACGTAGTAGCCGGTGATTTCAGTTCCCCCAATGGCTTCAGGCTGTTTCCATCCCAGCACCATCGAGTCACGAACACTCTCGAGTACCACRATGTCATAAGGTGGAGATGGAGGAGCTGTTTCAAGGTGAATAACGTGTGAGTAGGAGGCAATATTTCAGGCTGGCTTTCACTTACCGTGTTCAGGCGGCTCCCATCCTGTGTTTCCTGATTTGGACAATATTTATGTGCTCGAGAGAAGTTTCTGGAGATGGAATAAGAAATGCAGGACAAAACCATCCACAAACCAAATGCAGAAGTCCAAACCGCATAGGAATTAGTTCTCAGGATCCCTTGCTTTCAAAAACCAAGCTGATACATAGTGAAAGAATGTGTGGCAATTGCAGCTCTGATGCAAGTGATCAGGACTCACTTTAATACTGTGAAAAATGAGGAACTAAAAAAATATTAGAGATGCAATGATTTGTTTTCTTTTGCAGAAAGCAAACCCCCCTTTTGACACTTACAATATTCATTGTCATTCCTTTAAAAAAAAAAAAATTAGTCTCACATTCTTTCCTCCCAAAAATTGATTTTATCTGTTTCTTTCTTTTAAATTTACACACTGTGAAAATTTTATCATTGCACCCAGCATATGACCTTACCTTAAAAGAAGGCACAGTGATCATAGGCACTGCAGACTGACCACAAATGGAACATGTCTGTTACTGGAACTTACATTAAAAATATGCGGCATAATCCTCCTTCTTTGATTTTTTTTAACAATGCAGAAATCATTCACTTAATCCCAACCCACTTTCTTATATTTCTTTCGTATCTAGTAGGGAAATGCTTACCCACACCCAATACGTAACATCCCAGCGAAAAGCCCTAGCTGTGACCCTGAAGTAGTACTTTGGATGGAAATCCCACATCATATATGTTTCCTTTAATCTGTAATGTTTTGTATTGGTGTCAAATAGCCCCAGGTGCCTCTACTTTGTTTTCTGTTGAGCATTTTGCACAGCCTTTTGCATCTCACTGCAGAGGCCTGGGGAGGAGTTTAGTTCACTGGCTGGGTACCAGGACTTRATTGAAAYTAAAGTCCCACATATCTTGGGCACAATAAGTGTTCAGGACCTGAAAACCTAAAACATAATTTTGTGTATGTGCCTGTAAYTYGATAGGTTTTCTCATTACTTATCASTATCAGAGAACAAAACATTCATTAGCACAGYGTGTCAGATGTAKCYKAGGCTAAAATCCACAAAGGATCTCCATATATCCTAATGAAACACAGATTTTTATGCTTACCATCATAATCAGATTTTGTTTCCTTCTCAAATATATAAGCAGAGAACTAGGTAACCAGATTCCTAACAAAYTACTGAAGTGATTTGGATACATTAATATATAGTCAAACAAGCCATTAGATTACTAACYATGTTCCTATGTTTCACTTTCAGTAACCACTAATTTTGTAAAGAGATCACCAATACCATTATATGCATAATGATCTTAATGGAGAGTGGAGCACGTAATTAATGGGTTTGATAGAAGATGCATCACTGTAGAGCACATTCACTTGTGGCACAGCTGAAAAGAAGTTACAGCAGTCTGAAGTGGACCTACCAAAGCAGCAAAATCTATTTATTTTWTTCATTCTCACCTGTATCTTTCTTCTTTGTAACTTTTTCCACTGTCAAGAGATCCCTGGGTTGAGACTTACTTGCCTGCTTAGCAGCAGCTTTTTGTGGTGCAGACGTGACAACGTCCTTAACCATTTCTCTGGTGTTACTGTCTCCTGTACTCCCCAGTTTGTCACAGCTACTGGGTAGTGTCTCTCTATTAAATTTAGCGTTGCATTTTAGCAAAGCATCTGTGTCAAAGATAGGCTGGGAGGCCCCATGCATGCCTTCCCAGCTGGTAGTGCGGTCTGTTAGTCCAGCAGCTTTACCACTCAGTTCAGGACACACACCATGAGGCAATCCTTCCCCTACAATTGCCAGAAAACAGCAAAGACATTTGGATTTAGAATACATTTTTTTTCTTCATTTAGGCAACAGAATTAAGAAATGCATGCAGCAAACAATACAGTGAAAGTATGACAAGTCAATACACACAAAAGGTTAAGCTTGAATTCAAGAAAATTTGAAATGCATAGAATACCTCTCAGCCTGCTCACAAATACTGCTTTCTTAAATAAGGTCTAGAGCAGAAAAAAAGATGTAAAGTTAATAATATTCTTACTTTGCTACAAATATTTTAGTATTAGATCTTCCAGGTCACATTTCTGATCCTATCAAGATGATCTCACAAAATTGCCCCAGGCCACGTATCTCTGCTCTGAGGCTGAGAGGTATGCAGCTTCAATACAAATGGGAGTGAGGGTGTTGCAGACATGCAATTTATTCTAGCCCAGTGATCTCATTAATCTTYGTGGATTAGTTCAGGCAGCGGCAAACAGAAGCAATCCATCAGCAAGGGGAGAACACACRGGGTTATAGAAGGTTTGCAAAAGACACATTGCACTGGGTGTTAGGTTGAGGCATGGAAACAAATTTCTTAGGAAATTACTGTACATAAGATGGTGTGCCTTAGAGGTGATATATCAGATTACAGAATCAAAATGACATTCCCATTTTCCAGGATACCTATGAAGTGAACTTGGCAGTGCTCTCGTACAGTGATTCACAACAAACACCTGAAGAAAACTGGATGGTGAAGGTGAGCAGTCTACAAGAGTGCAGTGATTGTGAAACTATGTCTGTGAGATTATAGAATCTATGAATAAATTATTTGTGAACATTGTGAAACAAAGCAATTAATTAGTTACAAATAATTGCTGAGAACGCATTTAATTAAGTAAATACTACTGAAAATACTATTGAAATACTGTTTAATACTATTGAAAAAGGCAATGGAAAATAGCTTACCAATGGCTGCTTTCACCTCTATAGGCTCTGATTCCTGTGAAAATTCACTGAGCCCGGCTGCATTAACAGCTCTGACTCGGAAAATGTACTTCTCACCATTGCTGAGCCCGTGGCAAACGAATCTAAATCAAACCAGTAAATGAATATTTAGAAAATAATATAAATTAAATAAAAATCTTAAGGGGGAAAAGAAAGTATTTCTTCCATAAAATTTATTCTGGTTTCTGAAAAACCAAGGATAAACCACGACCCCAGTTACTTATATGAAGATCAGGGAATGCAGAACATACCACACAACAAAAATAATGTCTAAACTCCTCTCTCTTTAGGTGCACCCTTTCAACACTCTTTTCTTCTTGAGACTACACAAGTTTCTGTGTTACCACAGGGTCTGTCTCACTTCTGCCAGTGTATAAAATCCATCCTTCCAAATAGAAAAATGTAAAAATCTGCACAGCTAAGATCTATATTTCCTTYTTGCAGATATCTTTGTGCACAAATTAAAGACACATGTAACACAGGTTCCCATAAATCCATTCCAATCATAAATGAAAAATTGCAGAATTCAAAAAAAAATACAGGGCATTGTACAGGGGCTAGATTATTTTTGTACTTCACTTTCTTGATTCTATACATGACAATAATCCAAGTCAGGCAAATTCTTTTATTTGAATAAGTTTTCGACTTGACAACCTAATTGTCAYTTAAGAAAAACCCTCCTAAATTTCTCTGGTGTCCATCCTGAAAACACAAAATTTCCAAAGACAGGAATCATTTATTTAGGGACAGAATGGTTTGCAAATACAATTTTTTTCTTTAAAACCTCATTCATTTTTCAATAAGTATTTTAAGTGTATTTTATTTCATGTTACTTTTATTTTGTTCTACTTCATAATGCATTAGCAATTACACTACCAATGCTGACATCATGCAATGGCATATGAAGCAAATAAAATGTGGAAAACAAAACCAAAGTTTTATTTTGGGGGAAAAAAGAAAACCTGAATCAAAATTTTCAAAGCAGAATTTTCCCTACCGATTCTACCAGACTTTTCCAAATAATTTGCTTTCACCAGGATGTGTGCAGAAAAAATCAAAATGCACTGCATAAGGTAAGCTGTGAAATACAGCTAATGCTTTAAGATTGACTCAGGCAGAAAAACCAAGCGTTAACAGATAGCCTGTGCATGACTACATTATATATTATATACAATGGAATTGTATGTTATATACACATTATATCACACTGTGCAGTGAACTTATAACACAATATATAATAACTCAGAACAATATTTTAATTTCTGTGGTGAATAAAGGTCACATTTCATATTTTAAAATAAGCAAAGAGCATGAAACTTCAATATAACTACAACAAAAATCATAGAAATATATATGAAAGGATGTAATACTGGCACACATAAATATAAATGYAATAGAAATGCACTGGAGAATACATTAAAATTGCTGTGCCTGTGTTCAAGCAAGTGAGGTTTTAGGTACTTCTGATATACAAAGCATTACAATGCCCTTCTAAACAACAAAGCTGGTCAGGAGTATTTAGCAGAGTCTTACTTATCTAATAAGGGTTGTCACAAACAGCAAGTACAAATAAGCAGAATCACTCATAACAAGAAGGGACTACTTTTGTCTTGACATCAATCCACTTGAGAAAAAGTTCTGCACTTACTCCTTCAGACTCTGAAGATTACACACTTATTCAAATAAAACCAAATCTGATTTGTCTCTATAAGTTTTAAATCTTAATTATTTTTTCTGACCAGAGACCAAGCTTCATATTGGTAAGAAATGCAAGTTTGTACCTGATATTTTAGAGTGTTCATTGATTTCTTAATGAGTACAAGTGAAAGAGCAGTCAGAAAATAATATTGTAAGTGGGATACAGTCCACATGTCCTCCTGACAGTCTGGATACACAGTCCAGAAATGTTTAGAGCAGTCTTCCAAAACAAAGCACTTTGCTTCCAAACATTATGCAGCTAAGTTTTCCACATTTGTAACTTCAGTCATTCCTCAATGCCCTGTTTTTCATCAAACTGATAGGCTGTACAACAGCTAGAAGCAGCAAGCTGCTTCTCTTTTCTTCACTAGCAATGTCCATGTTTCTTCGCCCTTGACTAATCATTTCTAATATAAGGTTGATTATAATTTCTCTTTGGACAAGACTCACAGTTTGAAATATGTTTTTATAACTTCTTATGAACTTCATCTGCAAGAGGGATTCCAGCCTGCTGGCTGCCATGSAGAGATTAGCTCTACTACTACTAATGGCTGGAAAGCACAAACATCCAGTAAATCAGAATCTGGTGACCACAATTTCCATGCTTTACAATTAATTACCTTGTGCCTTTCACTGGATTGTTGTTGCATGGTTCCCAACGACCAGATCCTTCCACACTTGACTCAATGTAGTACCCAACCAGCTCCTTGGCATCTGGGGGCTCTGTCCAAGTGACAACAACTGAAGTGTCTGTGTTCCTAGTTGGCATAATACGGCCAGGAGCTTTGGGAATATCTGTGCGAGATAAGCAGAAATAAATTGGTGGCCAGCCAGTTAAAACTTACAAATAAAATAAGTATGAAATTCTGATCTTCATTATGTTAGCATGACTGGTACATATTTAATCTACAAAACGCTTCTCTGATTTAAGTAATCTGTCAGGACAAAATAGTAGGTTTAAAACTTTGGTGGTGAGGTTCCTCASTTCTCTACTGCCTAGGATTCAGTGCATTTCCTTWAAACTGYATTTAGTTTATCCCCTTGTGCTGAMTAACTGCACCAGAGATGTGATTTGGATCTTTCTAAAAGGGAAAATGCACTAGGTGCACAATGAAGTCTTGTGCAGCTCCCAGGGCAAGCCAGAAACCATGGCTCCTGTTAAGTGGCAACGTGTGTCAACAGTGTTTTTTGAGAAGAGATGTTTTACTCCTCTAAAAAACTGTAGTTCATGTGCATCCAAGGGCTCCAAGAAGTCAATATGAAGTGAACAGAGACSGTCTGGGAATTGGACTGAAATCCACATTGCTGTTTGGAAACAAATTGGTAATGTAGGTGTAGCTACTGATGATTTACTGTATTGAACATCTTGACTTCTCTTCCAGTGAAAATASTCTCTGCTTTCATGGAAGTATTAAATTCTTCACTCTTGTTTAATTTGGCAAACAAGCAAGGTTAGACTCTGCTGATGTCTGGGCTTATTTTCAATAAAGACTCTAAGTAAAACAAAACATTTTTGTACTTCCTTGAGTTTTCATTTTCTTTTGCTATTTGCAGTCTTTGCCRTTCTTGGCATCATTATTTGCAGCTTAAGTTCCTTGGTTTGCATTTGTTGTTTGACTGTACAATAAAGGCTGAACAACCCAAACAAAAACAAAATTTTAGTGAAAGGGAATAAATCGCTGACTACTTCTCATGCTTGAATTATTTTCTGGGCAGCTACCTGCCTGCAGACAAAACAATTACACCATAAACTGAAAAGTTCCCATGGAGGTAATTTAATCGACACGACCACACACTTACCAAGTTTGTCATCCACTACAGTGGCTTCAGTTGCTTCTGAGGGTTCACCAATTCCAGCTGAATTGCAGCAGCGAACTCGGAAGCAGTAGGATTTGCCTTCAGACAAATCAAAAACTGCAAAGCGAGGGGATTTCACGGGGATCTCGGTGTTCACCCTTTGCCATTCCTCTGTGCCAGCAACGCACTGCAGTCAAACCCAAAAACCACGTTTAGAATAGAAGTGTCTGAAGGCTGAGTGCCTCACACAACAAGGCTGTCTCACTGGACCACCAAATTCATGTGGAGAATAGGGAGATACATCCCCTTTTTTGGCCTTTCTACAGAATGAACACATTTCAAAGCTTATGAATCTGCCAGATGTCCACTTGCTCCAGAAAACATACATAAAAATTTACTGGTTTTAATATACCAAAGCTATATCCTTTCCTCTGCAAGGAAGTGATGTTGTTAACTTCACCCAGTCTGGACCACTTTCAAAATCAGTTCTGCAGATATTCAGCATTATGCAAAGACCAAACCTCTTTTCTTCTAGATGTTCTTGTGGGAGTCTTAATGTTTTTGGGGTGGCTTTCGGAATTAATCAGGATTAGACCCTCATTTTCCAGAAAAAAAGTTAATATATGCAATTAATTTGTGGATTGTTTTTACTTCTGTGACTAGGAATTCTACATACCACAACATTTATAACACTAATACTAGCAATTAATTTTTGCTTTGATTTACATTAAGTATAATTTCAAGTAATGGTTCTGGTTTCTGAGGGATTAAAATTCTCAGGAGAATATTAACTGRCTGTGTGACATTAGTGCTGAGCACTCAGCATGCAATCGGTTATTAAAAAGCTTTCTTATATGGCAACTCAAAATTCATATATTCATCCTCTCTAAGGCTGTTGCTAAGTGAAACTCATCTATTTAGACCAGATTTTGTATGAGAGATGGAAAACACATAATGGGAAGATATTTATGTATCCCTTGATGACACCTCTAGACTGATAGGAAAAAACATTGATAAAAAAGTTCATGAGCCAAGAGATGCAAGTAGAAAGGGTGATGGTGTGAAGAATTTTCTAGGYTAGCAGCCATGCAAAAACACCTCAAAAAGCAGAACATTGAAATGAAAACTGATTCTGTTCTAGGAAATCAGAAAAGAACTTTTGTGATTTTGTCAAGCAGGTGAAGCAAATGGAAAGCTAATGTAGAGGATAAACATGACAAGGCAGCTGGAATAGAAAGTGCTGATGCCAAGAAACTCTTGCAGAATGCTTCCCTACAAAATGTTAATCATCTGTCCTGCCAGACAAGCTTAATTATACAAATTTTATATATATTTATCATATGCATATATGAGATACATGTATATAGAAATAAATATGTGTCACATATATATATACATATATACATATGAGAGACATATATGTATATATAAGCATGTGACTTTGCTCTGTCCTTTCACATTATAGAGGGAATTTTGTTCTGTCTACTCCAGGTAGGTCAATGACAYAATTCAAGAAGATTATTACAGGGTGTGACACGTTCTTCATCTACTGTCCTATTTCCCATCTTTCTTTTATTCCTAGTTTATCTTAATCTACTGTCCGTTGTCTTGATGAACTTCTAATCCTAGTCCTAAYTTGTAAGTCTCAGACAGAAGTGAAAGTTGACCAGAAGTCCAGAAGAGATGACAAAACAAATGTAGAATATTGCCAGAGCATGATCCTGATTTTGTCCAATTTTACCTTTTCCACAAAGTACATGATACCCTCATGGCCCCGCTGTCCGGGAGGTTTCCAGCTAAGCACAACATAGTTCTTGGTGGCCTCAATAACTCGGAGGTCTGTGGGGGGACCAGGAACAACACCCTCTGACAGACAGGGAAGAAGAAAAGGAAAGGGAACTCGAATTTAATTCTCTCATTTTTGTATCAGAATCAGCATCATAATTAAAAAATAGGAGTATTAATATATGTCATCACCTGATATTTTTGTAAAATATAGTTAAAAATCTCCTAAATACTTGGTTTAAATTTCCTTCTTTTAATTCTAAGCATGATTTTGTTAAGTCCTGAATAACGAAACCTCACCCCCACAACCAAGTCGTTGAGTTATTCAAGGTCAAGCAGCTCTCAGAACAACAAATTTTGGGTGTGTGCCAAAGTCCACTGAACTCACTCAGAGTTTTCCTAATTACTCAGCCAGCTTCACATTAGACTTTTGTAGGCAAAAGGGCCRTGTTTACCTGCAGGTTCTTCCTCAGTCACAATAATCTGTCCAGTCCAAGGAGCAGAAGGGTGACCTGAAACAAATGTCAGAGATAACAAGGAAATAGGAGACCAGGAAATTTTCAAACAATGAGAAAACAGACCCTTTCATGGTTCAAAACTAAGAGCTCCATTTTTGGGTAATGCTGTGGCTGTTGCTCATGTAATAAAGCTAGTAACCCAAGCTAGTTGTAGGCTTCCCAGCTTGAATATTGAGAGCAGATCAGCAGTCAACAGAGCTAGAAAGCTTAATCCAMTGAAACATCTATTCCTTCCTGAAATGTCACTGAAGTCTCCTAGGTGACAAGCAGAGGTATTTGGTTCACTCAGCTCATCATTTTCAGAGAATTAGTTTCAGCTTTATTTTCCATCCTGTATTCCTTTGGTTTAACAGCTCACTTACATTATTACAGGCAAATTCCTGCAGGCTGCATCTTGTCTCTTTTTAACCACTTCCCCTCACATCACAAGCTTTTAAATCAAGGGTCACAGTCACAAACAGTAAYGGCTCAGCCTGACTCAACATGTCCACTTGATAAATTTGGGTGGCTGTCTGAGCAACCAAAATGTTATCAAACTATTGCAGTTCTGCATTCAGCTTTCAACCAGCTCAGTGCATTTCCAGAGATAATTTTGGCCAGTGCTGTTCTCTGCCTCCACATTGTTCACCTTGCATTGGCTGATCTGCTTTGGAGATGCAMGAAGAGAGGGAGCAGGTGGGGAGAAAAGATTATGGAGGATGAGAGGGGGAGATATAATAGGAATAGGCCACCAAAGCCAGACTTCATCTCCTGTGCCAGCTTCCATGCTGCCCATTGAGAAGATGAGCCCTCCCMCACCCCAGACTTAGGGTTTCACATGTCTGACTGAGTGCAGTGTTTCTTGGCAGTGCCAAATCTCCTTCCTCTGACCTTTTGTTTTATCTTGAATGGGAACCTCGATCATCTGGCTGCAGCATTATACACACTAACTCATACAAACTGGGACTGTGGGAGCACTGTAGTTTTGTATAAAATAACCCCTCACACTGGACTATATTAAATAGGAAAACTTCAGAAATATGTAGAAATAGGTTTAGAATAAAGTCTAAAATTATTTTAGGCAATGATTATGCCTAAATAGAGGTAGAGAGGTCGATTTGGAAGCAAAATGTCTGAGACATTGTGAGGCCGCAGGAGAAATACCCTTGACTTGTAAAATGCTGTCCTTACAGCAGAGAGCCTGGGATCTGTTGGGCTGTCCTGGTTTTGTTCTGATGTTATTGCAAGTCTTGGATTGTCACATGAGCACAGAATCAGCCACCCTTGTCTGTGGCTCAGAGAGAGACTATTCACAGGATCTGTTCAGCTATTTTGTTGGTGGAACAAAAGCAAGYCTCTCTAGGCAATTAAACTCTCCTGTGCCTTTTCCCCCCCTTCCTGCAAGTTTGGAGCACAGCACTGCAGTCAGCCAAAGCCACTTCAGCAGATAGAACACTCAGTGCAAAGAGCACTGAGATGATTTCTTGGCAAAGCTGTCTCCAGAATATTTTGGTTTGCATTGCTCCCTCTAGTGGGATTTCGAAGGCTTATGAGTTGATAGTCATACTTTGGTGTTTTGTTGTTGGTTTTTTTGGAATGATTTATGACTTCTAAACCTCTCAGKCAACCTGTAAAAAGCACATCTTACTTTTAAGCCTGGCTCTGTCTGCAGGATCCAGAGCAGCCACGGGCTCYGACACCCGGGATGGCAGGCTGACGCCAGCTTTGTTCACAGCTCGGACTCGGAAAATGTAGGAACGGCCTTCAATCAGACCAGTGACAGGAAAGCGAGCAAACTTCACGGGATTCTCATTGCACTGGGTCCAGTGGGAGGTGCCGACCTCACACCTAAAAAATACAAACAGCAAGAGCAGTGCTGGGAAGGGAAAAACACCAGCTCAGGGCACCCGCACACCTTTGCAGCTTCACCATCTGTTCGTGTTCATTGGCTGGTCTGTACCAGTTTCCTCAGCAGAATTTTATCCTGGTGACATCAAAGCAGCTGCACTAAGGCGTCAGGCTGAAGCACCAGCTGGGCATGCACTAAATCCCTCACAGCTGCACCCCTTCTTTCCTGAGCTGAAGAAGGGATAGGAGCAGAAACCCCTCCACTGTTCAAACTCTCCAAAGTATGTGTGGGGAGTGTCAGCTTTAGCATACTTGCAGGGATAGGAATTCTGCATCTCTTGCAGTTGCCTGAAGGACACAAGTTCATCTTTCCTGCACAATGCTGCCCTGTACATCCCACAGGATGCTGGGCTTCATGGGGTGAGGAGACCCCCACTGGGAGTTCTGGTACCAGCCCAGCACAGAAATGGCTGTGAACGATGTTGAAGTCAGGCACTTAATCAGACCCTGCTCCAGATACCAGCCCAGGGGAGCCTGGGGTGCACARTGACAAGTTCCAGTGTGGTGGTGCTGGTCCCACAACTGTGAAGACTCACACKCATCAGGAGGCTGGTTTCTGGCAAAAGGAAGACATGACCAGCAGCCCCTTCAGCTCAGGGAGCAGGGGAAGCCCGTGGTGGTGGCTTTCCAGTACCCAGCAATATGGTCAACAGTAATGGGACCTTGCAGCTTGGGAAATGCTATTTATTGCTAGTGAGATATCTGCCAAAGGGAATGTTACAGTTCCTACCCAGATTTCTTGGTACATGCAAGAATCTCTCATGAGAATTGTTACCCTCCCAGTCAGGGCAGTTTTGTGGTTCTGGTGTCTGCTTGGGGTAAGGGAAGCCCAAGCTTTGCCTCTTGCATTAGCACAGAGCAGTTCTGCTGGCTCAGGCCACCCCCTCATTCCATGAGCTATTTAGGGGCTACCCTGGCTGAATATTTGGGTCCCTAAATTCCTTCAGTGGGATCCAACACTGGAGAGCAGTAACACAGCTTTGAATTTGGGAGCAAACGCAGAATAAAGGAGGTAAACACAAGAGAAAAAGCAAAATGCCAGTTCTCTTGCAATTACTCTCAGTGCTAACATCCCTCAAYAGCCTACTTTTAAATGGGATTATTGTTCAGAATCTATTCCTGTGCTTTGTTTAGGATTTTTCAATGAATGCTAAAGAGCTGTAGCTTACACCTAGAAGAGCTTAGTTACATCAGCGACTGAGACTCAAAAATTATCAAACGTAACGTTATACTTGAATGGCACGTTTATTTCATTTCTTTTTAGAGATATGTAATTATAGATAGGTAATTTATATGTATACAAGGGCATAATATAATGGCACTTTTTATGTATAAAATGTTTGGGGGATTTTTACATGCATTTGAACCCAGAGGAACCTCATATTACTAATGATACACTCTATTACTGAAATTCACACAAATATTACCAGCACTGAAAATCACTGTAAGTCTCAAAATACTGACTCAATTTCTTAAAACACRGRCTKCTAAGTTCCTGCCACTGTATGTAASACAYGGAGGTTTCTTTTTCTTAAAAAATTATTTCCATGAAATTGGTGAATCTAAGAGCTTGAATATCAACAATAAACGGGAAAGACATCCAAGCATCTTAGAGATAACATTTTGCTTTCTGGTACATAGTAACTATTAGGAGAGAGGCAAGAGAATTCTGGTACAGATGGAGCCACAGCTGCCTGATGCAGGAGAAGATMCTGTAAGCTACCAAACCCTACAAAATTCTGAGGCCTCTCAAGCYTCAGAGGAAGCAGCAAGGGCTGAGCTACGCAGATCTCACAAAATCCTTTCCATGCAATTAAATGAAGCAAGATGTGATTACTTCCATGAAAGTTAGATCAGGCCAAGACAACCTAAAAAAAAATAATTTTTTCTGGCTGACAAGAAGAATGAAAATAACAAATGACTATTTGATCTCAATATTTGATCTCAGTTTTTTTCAATGTGCTTTTAATTTTTTGAGTTAGAATGAGCAGTAATGCAAAATCTTGAGTCCAGCATGCTCACTGACCTGTCAATGAAATATCCAAGGATAGGRTTTCCTCCATCGACAGCAGGTTGTTTCCAGGAGACAATGACATAATCTTTGTTGGCATCCAAGCACTGCACATCCAGTGGTGCACCAGGGGCTCCAGGGATTTCAGCATCAGCATCTATGAGGATGGAGAAATATGTTTTCTAATGTGAGCCACTATTCTTTCACAATTATTAGTCTTTAAGGACTGAACTGTGTTCCTACTCAACCAAAAAAGAAGTCCCATTATTGGCTTAAAAAAAAAGTATTCCTTTTATATTGCCAGTGTTTTTCTRGGTTTTGGCTTTTTCTTTGCAACATTTTCAAATGCTTAATATGTTACAGTATACTGCAAGTGTAATTTGCCTAGGCATTATAAATAGAATTAGTACCATGTATTCTGGTTAGGGAGCTGCAAGAGACACTGTTGAACTAAAAAACTTGGCAGGTAGGCAATAGCTGAATCAAAAGTATTCACCCATTGGATATAAAAATACTGAATTAAATATTTGATCTCCACTCATAGTCCTTCATTGTTTGATTTTGATTGGCTATGAACTGCAAAGTATCAAAACCTTTTGAAGTTGAATTATGTTACACATACATTATCTCTGTGGAATGTAACCTTCATAGGGATGAGTGTATTGTTCCTTTCAAGTGTTTATCACAAATCTGGGACTGCTGATGTCAAAGGTCCTTGACTCCAGCATCAGCTTCTGATCATGTCTTATCTAAAGCTTTAAAAAACAGAGCACAGTGCTGGGCACTGGGGAATTTTACTGTTTACACAGTCTGATTTGTGAGGTGGCGTAATTTTCACATAGAGAAAAATAATCTTTACAGGAAGAGTGTGTGAAAGACTTTCAAATAAGAAATATTGTTTCTCCACAGAATAACATCAATTTGTACAATTGTGAGCTACTTCAAAAGAAGACCTGACTAAGGCATATATTCCTGAATAAAAATATTTTGCTGATGAGTGCTATTCATACATTCCATAAACCCCAGAGTTCTTATAAAGGATTAAYATTTGAAAGCATTACAGGATTTTGTTTTACAATAAACAGTAATCCCTATTTTTTGTGATTTGGAGGAAAAAAATGCCTTACAAGAGTATTTAATATGCTTCATTAGGTAAAACAATAGTCTTGCTAAAAACAAAAACAAAAACAAAAACAAAAACCAAAACCAAAACAAAACCAGCCACACTTTACTGTGTCTTCTTTTATAGGCAGAGTAGCATCACACGGAGCTTTTGGAGCTGTGCCAAAGTTGCTAAGTCCAGGTTCTAATTACAGGTAACCAGATGCATTTCTTAAAATGGCAACATACAGAGTAAATAATCCAATTACCATCAGAAAATAATAAGAACATCAACGGTAACAACAACATGTCTTCAGTGATCTCTTTATGAAAGGTTTTAATTGCCCTTATTTACCACTTGACAGAACATGAGACAACACAGTTTTTTTTCCCAGGCAGACTGGGAACCAGCTGGGAGAGCCAGCATTGCTGATCATTGCTCCTTTAGGAGGCTAGGATTTCATCCCTGATGGCTCGCTGACAAATGATGACCTGTAGCCAAGGCAGAGGAGTCACACAGGGCTCTCGAAGCCCATCTGAACACATWACATTATGAGCCTCCCTTCCACTGAGACACAGAAAGATTTCTCTGTGTGACACAGAAAGACAACTTCTCCAGCTAAAATACTGCAGCTGACATTTAAAGCAAATTTGGCCACAGTTTAGGAGGAGCAATGAGGAATACTGTAGCCAACCAAGCCTGTGGGGCTATTTAAATAGGAAGGTAGACTATAATAAATGTAATTAGAATTTGGTAAACACACCCATTGGCCACCCTGCTGAAAGGGGCTGTGGGTTCAGTCAGATCACACTGAAGATGTGTGCTAGAAGATGCAATAGGATTGAGGGTGATCAGAATTTATACGGCAGCACAGTGTGAAACAAATAAAGACAGAGAAGGCCTATTTCTTGTCACAGGTACTAGACTCTTTCTTTAGCTGATGAAAACATCTGCTTCAGCTATATTTTCTGAGCAGGTTGTTATCTCACACAGCTCTGCTGGACTTGACAACAAGGAGCTGTTCTGGACATGGTCTCAGAGCCAAGAATTTCCAGAGCATTTTGAATTAGCATTACACACTTCAGCTGCTTTGAGCAGCTGGGACAGATATAGAATCAGCACACAACCTGATAGCCATGCTCCTTTTAAAGAAATATTTCTCAATGGAAATTCAATAAAGTTTTTGATGATACAAGCAAACAAAATTTACGTTTTAATTCTACTCTTCGCTGCATTATTTCAGAGAATGGTTGAGACTGCAGACAACTCCAGATATTGCTTAGTTTAGCCCCTGGCTCAAAGCAGAGTCAGAGCTGGTTACCCAGGGCCATGTCAAATCAGGCTTTGGGTATATCCAAGGACTGAGACTCCACAGCCTCTCTGGGTAACCTGTTCCAATGTCTACTCCCCTCCATCAGGTGCTTATCCACAGAGATAAACTCYTCCTATGATCTCTCTTCTCCAGGCTGAACAGTCCCAGCTCTCCGAGCCTTCCCTCACATGAAAGATGCTCCAAGCCCTACATCACCTTCCCAGCCCTTCACTCCAGTGAATTCGTGTCTCAATTGTATGGGAGATCCCAGAACTGGATCAAACATTCTAGATGGGCCTCAGCAATGCTGAGCAGATGGGAAGGGTCACCTCTCAGCCTGCTGGCAGTGCTTTTCCTAATGCAGCCCAGGATGCCACTGTCTTTCTTTGTGACAAGGGCCCACATTCACCTTGGTGTCCTCCAGAATCTTTTCTGAAAAGCAGCTCTGCAGACAGACACCAGCCTGCACTGCTGCATTATGGAGATTATGCTTCTCCAGGTGCAGATCTTTGTGTTTCCTTTCCACTGAATTTTTTCTTGCAATGTGCATTAGAGAGAACCCCTCAAATGACAGGCAAAATCTTGATWAAAATAGTGCAGTTTAGCTAGCTTAGCAGTTTACAAAAATACATTTTTAACTTATTATGTRGATTTTTCCTCCTCATGATTTGAGTTCACAGTACTGAACATAATACCCTAAATTTCCTCCTCAGAATGTCAGTGGAGTTTAGAAGCTTTCCAGCACGTGACACCAAAGCCTGACATATGCACTGATTTTTTTTTTCCAGTGATAACAACTGGAATCTACATTGCTAGAATATTTTAATATAAAATTATTATTCCATTTTTATTGGAGGGGCGGGAAACACCTGAGATATCTGAGACTGATTTTGCCAACGTGTTTTGCTCAGCTCTGAAGTGAGTTCTGTGCACAAGACCATATCCCACCTCGAACAAAGACATAACCRCTGTACTCTTCGTAGTACTCTCCCATGGCCACCCGCAGAGTGTAAAGACCTTCATCCTCCTTGTTTGCGTGGGTCAGTGTTAAAGTGGCTCKCTCCCCACTCCACTGCATCAGGACCCATTTGGAGGGTGTAATAGGAACACCTGGGAATCAGAGAATTTCATGATGAGAACCAGCTGGATCTACGGAGGAATAAATTCTCTACACGGAGCTAATACTGGAATAGATTAGAAATACAAAAGAGACTGCTCTTGTTGGACAACACCCTGTCTTTGAAAACAGTCRTAAATAGCATCTAATTCTTATCTTATGTCAACTTTGTCTTTGATTTGAAAGCGTAACTTCAGAAAGCAATAGCTTTTTATCAGCTATTAATGGCACATTTGTGCAACTACTTAAAAATATCTTGGCGTATAAATAAATAAATAGTAAAAGCTATATGAGCTCTATAAATAGATATTGGATCTGATAAAAATGCTTCTAATTTAATTTTTTTTAAATAAAAAATCCCAAAAAGACAGAGTGCTTTGTCAGTTTTCTGTGGTTTYACACCAAAATACTAAATTTTGAAASAATTCTGMTTGAAAAMGAGAAAATATTACCATTGGAAAACMTGAGAAATTGATGACCAAACTGTAACATTCACATAAGTTGAAATAAGTAAAGATTTACATGAAAGAAGTTTATGTTTCTTCTTGACAAACATTCTCACCGTTTCTGTACCACTCAATGTCTGGTTTGAAGCGCTTGATATCAGGATTGATGACAACTGTGCAGCCCAGACTCATTGTCTCACCTTCTCTTCCAAAGGCTACATCAAATTTGTCTACAAAGCTGATTTCAAACCTGGAAGCATAGCCATGAGGGGTAACAGCAACTGTATAAAAGAAAAAAATCTGGTTTTCTTTCCTTCTGTGACAAGAGTAGGAAGAAGAAGTACTCGGTGATTATGAATACAGTCCCAGGTAAAGTTCAAGGTATAAATAGGAACAATATGTATATTAAGTCATCATCTTCAGAGGTAATTGCAGTGTTGGATGATCCAAGCCCTTTCTATTGCAGAGAATTGACTATTTCTTTATTCATACAACTCTAGTTCTTACAGCTAGTTCATTTTACCAGGGAGAGACTCCTGCAGAATTTAATTTTAGAATTTTCAGTATGTCAGATCTGTTGTTTTATCATAAGGTTTGTTTTATAACTYACAAAGACTTCTATTTGTGATTAATTATTTGTTCAGGTCAAGTTGATCTTTAGCTTGTATGATTCCTCCCTTCCCCTGTTTTAACTCCTTGCTCTATTTCAGAGAAGTCATGTGTCCACTCAGCTTTTGTTTTTGTAAGCTAGTAAGCMTTTCTGGGGGCTGCTATTAACATAAAATGAGCTCTCCAGTCCCTCAGGCATCCAGGTAGCCTGTTTCTGTGCGTGTTCCTGAATTTACCTTTTCTGATATTGTGTGTCCCAAGTTGAGCAGTTTTCCAGACAGAATATCCTAAGTGCCTTTCATTTGTACTGCACATACATGGCAGAGGGGCTTCCATGTTTGTTTTGAAAATGGCTCAGCTGATAAAACCTAAGGTCACATTTTCCTTTTACTCAACTAGCCTACATTGATAACTCTCTCTCTGCCTGTGATCAATGAATATATAGCAATTATGATCTTTCTTTCCCATAATGAAGTGATAGATCCCAAATTTTATTGGAAATGTATTGCATTTTGCAATGTTGTACATAATCTTGTTTCTATTATTTCAGAGCATTGGTATGTACATGCCAGCTAGTATTGCCTTTGTAGAATATCTCTGATTCTCTTTGTGCTACTACAACAGAAGAAAAGTCTAGAAGTCTCATCTGTCAGACCTTTYATGGGGTTCCTAGGGCACCTTCACCCACACAGCATACATGGGTGGATTTTCTTATTTTCATGGAAGGATGGATGCAACTCTATAAATCGCGTTAAAATGTGAGGTTCTCAGGTAAAACAAACTACAATTTTTACCTCGATATATACCAGATAGTCGAATTGGGTTCTGGATATTTAATATTTTCTATGCATTTTCTGTGCAYTTTCACCACTTAAAACCACATAAGCAGCAGATGAGAACAATTAAGTCACCTACTCTATACAGGCACATGCATCCCCACGCCATGTTTTACATCTTACAAAAGAGGAAGTGTCTCTCTCTCTCTGACAGATTCTATTTTGTATCGAAGAGCAATATTAACAGGATATTTCTTATATAAGCAAACAGACCTAGAGGCAATGCCATTTCTCCCAGGTAAATCATCTGAAATTGTAGAGCTCCATGCCCTTGTAAATCAGAACTTCTTCTTTTAAAAATAATGTTACTAAATATTCTGCTTCRTCMTGAAGTCACAGCTATAAATGGAAGYGTCAAACAAACATWKAGTAACTTACATGGAGAGAGGGAAAGATTTCTAGCATGCAAAAGACTTGCATCAATTTCTCCTTTGTACCCTACRCAGAAAAAGACAAAACCAGTCACTATCAACAAGAGACAAAGGCTCTGTGAGCCACAAAACCAAAACTGGTAATGGGCATCTTAACAAAAAAATCCTGAAGGAATAATATTTTGCAACATACTCTTTACCACGAGGGAAGCATAAACCGAAACTTCTCCTTTAACATTCATGGCAGAGGCACGATACTGGGCAGTGTCATCAAATTCACATCTGAAATTATAGAAATTATTAGACAGAGCACCCATTTACCCCTTGGCATAGGCTATCTGGTGCTTTAGATTAAGGAAACTTCAGAAATCTGAGTGAAAATCTATTAAGTATAAGCTTGGGAGACAGACATACTGGACACTGGACACTGGACTGATTGTAGCCATTAAGTTTTTCACTTACATATTTGAAATTGAGAGTACAGCACAAGAAGAAAAGCTGTCTGATAATATTCATCTCTAATTTACTGTCTTCTCTGAAGAGATGCCTCATGTAGAAGTTGTAGAAATAGTAGATTTCATAAAATATTTCCAAAGAATACCTGCCGCTATATAAATTGTCAGATCTAGATTGCTGTTGATTAGGTCTCATGTTTGCAATGTTTTTAATGCAAAGTCACTGCAAAAATTTCCCACTTGAAAGATGAGTACTGTTAAAGATCTTTCTTGTGTCTAAGTGAGGAAATCCCAGTTCTATTCCTCATTTCAGTAAGAATCCTGAACTTTACTATATTTGAAAAACAGTTAACTCATATATTTTTACATGTTTAACTGTATTCATCATGCAGGCAGATGGAAAAAGTAATCATTAATGTCCCACATTTCTGACTCAGCCACAAACAGAATATCCAGATAAATAATCCAGATAAATAACTGCATGTCCTCAACTGTGATAAACCAGAGCTGCTCCAACATGTAGTAGACAGAATTCATGAAGCTGATGTCTCTGATATCACCTGATGTGATATCTCTTATATCCCCAAAGGTATGTTCACCTTTTGYAGGTCTCAATCTATAGCAAAATTTCAGCACAAGCTGTTTGTTAAAWTATTTAATATTTCCTTACTCGCTAATCTCCAGGGAGTGCAGCCCRTATCGACTTTGAATGATATACTTGCCAGGGTGAGTCTGTACATCAATGGGCACGTTATTTTTGTACCTATGGAAAAGCAAAGAAATAGTGTGTCACAAAAAGAAGAAATTCTGTGCTTTAAAAGGTCAAGTACTTAATATTTGAAGTAGAACATCAGCTTCTGCATATTTCTCCWGGATCAACTGAAGTCTAACTCTCTGGGAAGACATTATGTATCTTTGGAAGTATAACCTTTCTCTCTTTCTCTTTCACCTGCTCCATCCAGAGATTTTATCCTCAAAAGAAGAAAATAGTCTTGAGTGGGATGAAAATCAGTTCGTATTAGCGTGAACTTCAAGTTGTAAAGGAAAGGAGGAGTCACATGAGAAACATATCAAAGTTTTGTAAATTGCAAATAAAAATTTTGTAGGCCACTTACTAGCTATCATAAACATTTTGTTTGGTTTGCATATTTGACCTACATTTAAAACTTTCATATACGCAAAAATGTCAGGTAGAAAGTTAAGTTTTTGGTTTACTTGCAACTTAACAGGGTTAGACTGGCCTACACTATGAGTACTTTCTGGCACAGATGTATCTTCAGGTAGGAAAGGTTTACTGTCCAAAATTTTCAGTACATAATTTGAAGGAATGAACCAGTACTGATCAGTGGTGAACTGGTACTGCTAACTTCAGAATTTATATGAACAGCTTGAGACTCATATGCTGGAAGAAYAGTGGTGCATGATAAATTATTCTTCTTCAATTGCTGCATAAAGTGTCACTCATTCTGGGCCCTACATAGTATAATCAAGTAAATGAATGAATCCTGTCTTAAGCAGGCATTGGTAACATGGAATAAACTAGCTAGAAGAAGTCTAATAAATAAATTGCATCCTGAATTGTGTTCAGTACATTTYGCATTGATTTGAGGTCCATGAAGAAAAAATGTTTCCTAAGGGAGTGTCCTACTTTAGCATAGCTTTCCCTGTTCTCCATAAGGTACATACATAAAGAAAGTGGAATGATAAAGGATGATAGATAAAAGTATCTTCATCTCTTACTCTGATGGASCTTAAATAAATCTTTCYCCTCASAACAGATRACCGGACAAAGAGKTTTGATTCTCATTTCAGATTTTAAATCTTTCACGATTTTGAGTCAGGAAAGAGAACCAATCTGGTGTCAGTGACCAGCCCCATTTCACCAAACAAACCAGTAATTAACATTTTAATTTTTACCAAGAAAATTATGAGTTGAGTATACCTCAACATGAGGCTATATCAGCAACACATCTGAAAATTATCTTTCAGTACCATCAGTGTTGTACATTAAAGAATATTTCCCTCACTACAAATATTTGGGCATAGTAATACCCTAGGAGTTGTCAAAGTGCTTCAGTGAGTAAGGAGTGTAAATCCTAATGCATTTTATCCTGATCTTCCTCTCAACAAAAGTCTATGAAAAGGGACCCAGTGCAGGGCAGTGCTCTCAATTCTGCACATCAGTCATTAGAAGAGAGCCTGAGCTTGTTAGTCCATTATCCTGGCCTGGGCAATGAATAATACATGAATGAAGCAAGAGTAGTACATTCACTGCCACTCTTCACCTCGTCTGTGAGCTGGTGCCCTCCAAACTGGTCTGCCTGGGAACATCAGGGCATCTTTATATTACATCTAGTGTGTCAAATATTTTAGAAAATAGAGCAATGCCCTCCTTTCCTGGTATTTTCCAGGGAATACAAAATACTGTAAACAGGACTTAACTCCATAATATCTTTAATTTTTTTCCAAAGTGCTGGGCAACCCTTGGATCCTATGGCAGCAGAGTTGTTTGGTAGCACGGGTTGCTGTGCAGAAACAAGCTTTAACTGAGTCATGCCAGCAGCAAGAAGACTTTCACTTCTTTTGTCTTCATTATCAGGTTAGTAAAAAATAACTGATTCCATTTTTGCTTATTTATATTCATCTATAGAAAGAATAGAGCTGGTGTTAGAAGGACYACACGTTATTTCTGGAAATGCAGATTCCAGAGCAGCCAGGTCATTAGCTAATGTGGGACTGCAACCTCCCACTGTCATTAGGCACCGATAGTTTATGCTTTCTGCTACTGGTTTCAAATGTCCTTGGTTTTCCATATGCTTTTTTTTTTTTTTTTGGTCCAAGGGAGTCAAACAGCTGCAGTCAAAGCAGGCAGTAAGATTTTCTTTAGAGAAAGTTCATAAAGCTTTATAGCTTTTCAGGCACAGCATGAAAAGGTCTTCATTTCTTACACAAAGAATGACTGTTTGCAATATTCTACTGACATTTTGTTAGAAAGGCTGAACGAAAGCTGACAGATCCAGGTCAGCACTGTTCTATATCTTAGAGCAAAGACACCTGCTGAAATGGATGTGAACTCTTTTTTTTTTTTCCATCAGTAGCCTGTGGCAAAACTGAAATCCCTTTGGAACTCAGAAGTACAGTAAAATGCTGTATTAATTTCCACCATCCACATTTAGCACTTAGATGAAAGGCTGATTCACAGTGAGAGCAAAGGCAGACAGCTGAAGGCTCGGTTTAACCATGTCAGGTTTTGGGGATAAGGCGAATCTCAACCAATGTGAAAATGACCCAGGTCTTGAATTCTTGGGTAGGATTCAGGTTACARAGCTGGATTACAGCCATGAGTGTAGCTGACCATTGCTTATATCCAGCTGAGACCAGATCTGAAGGGTTTGTCTGGAATTCTCTCCAGAAGGAATGTCAACACGTGCCACTCACAGTCCTTACAGGACCGGAAAACTGAGTTCAGGCAGAGCCTGGCTATAACTTGTCAGAATTCAGGGAGAGAGATCAGTGACTTTATGGACTCCGCTCTGGCCTATTAACATAGCTCTTAACAGCAATTTTTGACAAGCCCTGAGATTAAGATTTTTAAAACCTAAATAAATTCAGAGCACTTTAAAGCAATTCAAGTAACAAACTGCAATATATGATTATTACATAGCATCATTATGTAGCAGATGTTTCSTTTCCAACTCAGCATATTCAGTGAMTCTGTAAAACATTYCAATAGACTCCAAAGCTTTCAGTTTATTTGGATGGTTCCGGATTTACGTGAAATCATTGACTTTAGACACTGATGATGTGTCTGCTATGAACATATCATTGTTACTGAGATTTCCCATCATCAGCAGGGCATTTCAGTTTCATGGAGATTCGGTACTGTAACTGCTCAGCTGCTGAGAACTTTGCTCTTGAACAAAGCCTGCTTTAATGCATCAGGGACATCAGTGTCATTTGTYGACTAAACACAAGTATTTGGGAAACGTTATGAAAGACAGTATATAAATTAAACTGCTATTTTCCCTTCATCTTTGACAGAAGGAATATATTTGATGTCTCTACCAAATTTTTAAAAATCTATGTATTCCTAGTGCTGTTACACAACTATTTTAAATATTATTATATTAATTTACAATACTACTACTACCAGAATATTATTAATGTTWTCATTATTACTACTACTACTACAATTGTTATTTCATTTTAATATTTTGCTCTTTTTCTGTACAATGTGACTTGTAAGGTGTTGACAGTTCTGTCATCAGTACCTGATTTTTTAATTTAACTTATATCTTTCCATAAAAATGACCACATGCATTGAGATGACTTCAGATTATGGTTATTTTCAGTGCCAGGGATACAAACTTACCATGTAACACGGGGTGCTGGCCAGCCAGCCACGGAACAATTAAATTTAACATTTTCTTTTTCCCAGATAGTGTGGGAACGAGGCTCGATGATAAACTCAGGAGCATGTAAGAGGCCATCTTGATTCAACTTTTTATGGAATGCCTGAGTCTCTTCTAGCTGGAACAGAAACACTGTATTATAAACTTGATTATAGCAGCAGTTGGAACAGCAAATTATTAATATAGACACACAACCCTCCTAAAACTACACAATTTAAAAACCCAGATAGACATACTTAATGTATTTTTCTAACCTGGATACAGGAAACAAWGTTTTCATTTTCCAGAAGTTCTTCTTTCAAAATAACTAAAACTATTGTGTTATTAAAACTATTCTAAGTAAAGTAATTTTCCACGTTTACTTACTCATTAATCATTTTAAATACAGAGTGAAAGGTGAAAATAGGCCTGAAACTCAGATGTCTTACATACTTTGCATATATAATRCAAGGCTGTGTATGCCTGGGTCATCTCTGACAGAGCTGCTCTCCAACTTTTCCTCCTGCTGGGATCTTTCATCCTCCCAARGTAACTGGTTCAACTGCTTGACTATCCACAGAGCTGGAAAAACTCCTACTGTGGTATAAATATTGCTTTCTGCAAACAAAACTATTTATTTTCTGCCCTAACTTTCACATATATGGAGAATTACAGGTCCCTGTATTCAGATTATTAAAATAAGACTTTTATAAACTGGGCAATAGCAGTTTTCCTTGAGATGGTTTCTCAATTCTAGTTGAGAAACCTCTTGTTGAGGTTCTATTTGCCCTCAACATTCATCAGTGACTGCTCATTATCATAAGTCCTACAGACTCCAACACCATTTAAAAACTGCTCCTTATGTGTTACTGATAATACACTAGATTGGCATTTGTTTTTATACAACTGACATTAAATTGGGTGGCATCAAATTTGTGACCTTTCATAACTCTCTCATCCTGAGGTATCCTTCTACCTAGCCAGGTATTCCTCATTTACTCAATCTTTTCCTTCTGTGTGTAGTGATTTCCATCACTTGTTATCAAATTTCACCCTCACCGTTCCTCAGTTTTTGAGATGAATTTGAATTTTTTACCTTGTCCTTCAAAGTTTTTATACCCTTTCCAACCTTATGTCATAAGGTTATTTTATAAGCATATTGCCAATTCTTTTGCTCAAAACAATATATATTACAATTATTATATTGCTCAAAACAATTTATATTACTATGCTATTCAATAGCATARTAAYATAAATTAAGTAATATATTTGCTARATGAAACGTATTTGCACTTRCATGTCTTACCAGTCTGGCCACATATTTGTAACTATGCTCTGAATATTATTTCTTAACAAGTKGGACAATAATGCACACAATTAGAGATTCAGTTCCAGATGTTCCTCTCCAATTTACACCTAATTTACCCTAATTCTGTCCTAATTCACACCCCATGATTGAAACTCTGGGGGGAACACTTTGGACAAGCTTGTTCTCAGGCCATAGAAGTCCAGAAATCACCCATTCACCTATATATGAGCAAGATATATATTTTGGCACCTTTCTTCTCTGCTGCTTCATCCTCCAGGTGAAGGATGCTGTGCCATTTAAATGTGTGTGGGCATGAACACAGACCCCTCCATGTCCTTTCCCCGAAGCACAACAGAAGCATTCCTGGTGCCTGCCTTGGGCACAGTGCCTCTTTCCTTATCCTTTTGATACTTAAATAACAAGACTTCTAAGTAATTCAAAAGATTTCTGTTGAAAATACTTTGGTTTATTACTATCATTATTGCAATTGTCCATGGAATAAATCAGGGTCCTGGTGTGTTAGGCACTTTACAAACACCAAAGGACAAAAGGGTCTTTTTTTTTTTCTAGTTTAAGTGTTCATTTCTACTCTTTTACCGTTTTCTTCATGGCCACACGTTCAGCAGACTCCCGGATCGCTACTTTCCTTGATTTTTTTTCATGGTGTTCCTCTTCAGAAGTTGTCTTGGCCACCTTGCTGACACTGACTCCTTCACCTGTGGCAAAAAGGTTCCTCTTGGCAACATACGCAGCACTTTCTTTAATTCTCTCTTCTTCAGTGTCTGTGATACCACTGATATTTACTTCTCTGAAAGAATTTTCAAAGAGCAGAATCTCATTGGGAAATGCTGACAAACAGTTCTTGCTACCAAGTTAACCASTGCAGTGGCCAACAGCCTTCTGCTACTACAGCCTTGTATGTATTCAAAGCAAAAACACGCAAGGGGCTCTGCAGAAAGGCTGAGTATTTCACTGTCGAAAGTCATGGCCATTTTCAGTGCCTCTCCCTATAAATATGCCATGCACATTTTCAGTTTAACCATTATCCTGCTGCAGTTCTTTATCTCCATCTCTGTAAAGATGAGTGTAAGGMATAACCATAGATCTGCAGTTATTAACTTGGAGCTGCAACATTCCCAACAACATGCCAAAGGGGCAGGAGATAATTGCAGCTGTATAATAATGTCCTCATTTGTGGTTTTTAAAAATCCCCCATATTACTGTAGTCAACAAAATGTTCTCTTTCATAGAAAATTCAATCTAATATTGCTTTCAGGAAGATAATGAAGGATTTCCTTGAAGCCCCCTCTTTGGGGTTTGTAGAGAGGTGGGACACAAAGAACTCTCAATGGGTGTAATCCTGTTTCCACACTCACACATGGATGTACCATTGATCCATATTGTTTTGGCACTGTCAGGACATTACAGCTACTCCAGTACTGCATATACAAGGAGAGTTCTTGACTGAAGAAGAAGCATTAATACCCTCCTGCTGAATTTTGTTACTTCAAGGGAGCTTTAGATAGAACACTGAAAAYAAATTCTGTTTAACTCCTCATTAAGTGCCATCTTGCAAGCTCTATAGAAACATCACCTCTCTTTCTCGAGTGCACTCAAGCACAGCCTTTCTTTTATCATAAAACACTTTTTACTACTACAAAGCAAAAGTATTAGGAATAAAGATTTTCTTTCTGATTTCTTTAATATTATTAATTTGATAGCATATCTYAATACCCAAGAAAATTTGGATTTAAGCTCACAATTAACTCTCCAGCCCTTTTCTGTGAAGGCAATTTGGTGAGAAGAAAGACAGTCAAGCAGTGGAATGTGCAGTAAACTTAATTAMATTTTAAAATTGCTGAAAAGACTAAAAATCTTTCTTAACAGCATAGAGCTTTGACCACCCTCAAACCCAACTTCCAGTGTTTCAGTCTGCTTTAAGAGGGTGATCCTTAAGAAATCAGTGAAACAATAGATTCCCTTCACTTAGGCACATCAGCTGCCCCCACAAAGATCACCTGAAACTGCAGATATATGGAAGAGATTTTTAAAAACAATTTTGAAAAATTGGTGTAATGAATATGAATACCGCTACCTACATTCATTTTAAATGAATCCATGGCATTTTTCTTCCATGGCAAACTGATACTATTTCCTCCTTAATTACAGTAATTAAGATATCAGCAACTTCACAGTATGGACTGGTTTCTCAAGGCATTAAGCATCTTTTGGGAGCTGATGAATATTCTCTGACTAACACAGGACTCATCCCCGTCATCTGCAGTTGTAATCCCCCAGATGATTTTGATCAGCAGTATTAAATATTTAGATTTTCTAATAATTTCTTCCTGTTATAATCTTAGATCAAAGAGAAACATGTTCCCTGAAATGATGAATGTGCTAAAACAGCAAACTGTCCTGTTTAAGAGTTGATTTTTACAGTCAAGTCTCAGGGGTTTCAGTAGAAAATCCTTTTCGAACAGATACAACCCCGAATGGCACACTCAAAATACCATTTTAAGGTTATCTGCCATCTATGGTCTTTTGGCACTGGCCTGTTATTGCAAATAGWACCATGAGCCACACAGTAACTTCAGCACTTATGGCATTACACCAAGCTCTGGGTATTGTCAAGAATACTTGCTAGCTGTCCATAATTTTCTCTTGCAAGGATTAGCCCAGGTGTTTAAGAGGATCAGCTGCAAAATGAATAATCTGAGCAAAGTAGTTTTCTACAGCAGAACCTGAGGGTGCCAAAATAGAACTAAACAATGGAAATGGTGACACATCACCTGGTGAAGGTCATCCAGCTCCAACAAATCCACAGAGAGATGACCTTTATAAATAATATTCCTTTGAGCAGCTATCTGCCCAWGGGAAACAACACATCAGTTTCACAGGGGAATTTGGGAATGACACATAGCATGCACATGGTTCAATGGGTTTCACCTGTTATCTTTGCAACAAAAATAAATATCTGACARGAATGTGGCATGCAATTCCACAGTCTTGGCGTGTGGTCATGAGCATGATGCCAACAGACAAAAGCCTAAACCAGATACCATTTCATTCTGTGTTGAGTTGAGCCTTCTAACAATCTTATGCTCTTTTTAACTAATTAAACAAACAAATGATGAAAATCAACAAGAAAACCCCAAAACCAAACCCAAAACAAAAAAAAAACTTACCCCGAACAAAAAACCCCCACAAAGCAAGCAAATGAACCCTCCACCCAAACCAAAATTAAAGCTTTTTGGGTCATTTCAGTGGCAGAAAAGCACACACAACTTTCTGAATTGYCATATGCAAAAAGTAAGATTGATACCAACAACAAAAGAGTAATAGTAACAATGAGGAAAGAATCTGACAGTATATTTTAATGTAGGATCCCAAATATTGCACAGGCACAAATAAATGAAGCTACACACCATCATATTAAGTTGAATATTATTGTATGAATTAAAAAAAATAAAATTTAATGATTTCTTAAGATTTGTTAAGATGTTAACATGATGTGCTTAGATCACAGAAGCCTGTAAAAAAGCTAAGTARTAATCAATGCTTATGTTTTTTAACTACTGCCCAACACTATACATTTTATTTATGTAGACTCAAGATAAAATAAAAAGGGAGGATATTTGTGCTTGAGGGCATGGGAGAGAGATGATGGTGAGCTGCAAATCTGCTATGTAAGTATGGCTGAAATACAAAAGTAGTGAGAAGCCTTGAGAATATGTTATCTCAAGTTTTGTGTGAGACTCACGTTTTTATGTGTTTCTTTCACAGAAGACACAAATGAAACTTCAAAGGAATTTTTTTAAAAGGCAACAGTGKGTTTCTTAATGTTGTTTGGATCAAAGAGCAATGAAACCAACTTAGGAATGTACACGGGGTGATAAAAAAATTACTCTGAAATAGTGGGAGAGAGTTCATAAAAACCAAAACCACTGGTCTCATCACAAAAGCATCACAAAAGCTCAAAAGGCCAGAGCAATAACATCCTCCACTGACAAACTGGAGCTCAGGTCACACAAAACCACAAGTTTGGACATAAAGCAGAAGTGCCATTGGATGCTGATTAAGCAGTAGTCAGAAAAGCACTGGCTCCCARAAATTACTTGGAAGTATCCCTTGAAAAATGCCTGGCTGCTGAGGGAAGACAAGTTGAAAGGAGGTTTCTGTTCAACTCCAGGTGGGCAAGAAAATTTTCTCCTGGCCTTTAAGCACGTAACAGTTTTCCACACTACACCATAATAYGCATTAATGTGAACAAGTGACTGTGCTGGAACTGCTGGAGGCTTCTACTAAAATCATAATGCCATACCCCAAAAAGGACAGGGGAGCCTCTTTGCTCATGTTGGTTCTGGCTGCCACATAAAGTTCACATTCAGCTTCACTGAGAACACCACTGCAGTAAGATGAATTACATCAGTAGTAACCATGCAGTAAATAGCACCAACACATGAGATCAGTAGGAATCATTACAATGGATTTGAACAAGCATTTGGTTTTATTCCAGGYTTTCCCTGTGCCAGGACAAGACATTAGCACGTTGTTTCATTGTTTTTATGTTTAATGCTTGGTAAGAGATGTTTGATTACAGCCCAAGCCGTCAAACCAAAAGAATAAGCTAAATAATGTGGACAACATGCTTGTCAGCTTCCAAATAAGCAGGGTTATAATTATATTTTCATTTCATAGAAAGCAGCCCTGACGATGTGTTCAAAACAAGGTCTGGACACATAAGTTCATTTATCCTTGAGCTGGATGATCAATGYCTGATTTTCTGCCAGTCATTTGACTACTCTTGGTCTTTTTACCATTCATGTGAAGTGCAAACTATCACCAATCTATCTATCACAAAGACAGATTAATGGATTTGTTATTTTATAATTTGTAAATAAAATGTAAGAAATAAGACACTAAACAAAATGAAGATGAACATACCGTCCTGTGAATATGGGCACTGAGTAGTCTATGGCTTCGTTCTCTTTGTCCTCCGATACCAAGCTCTGTTTTGCTCTCTTGGCTTTGGGACTCATCTTATAGGATTGATCCTCTATCATTAAATTGGAATTTTTCAGTCTGCAATAAAAAATGATATTGTTAAATTCAGGAAAAAAGCTGTTAAGATACACTCCAAAATACAATTGAAGTAAAATTTTTTTGCTGCCTTGTTTTGTTATCAGGAACTTATAGTTTTTAAAAGCAATAGTTCCAGAGTTATTAAACACATAACTAAGAGTACTTTTGACAGTCTCATCATTACAAACATAACACTGATGCCTTCTGATATTAAGTCTAAATAGGTAAACAATGTACCTGGTAGCAATGCACTTTTAATAGCTTATGGTTTCAGTAGTTTGTATACCAATTTTGATAGATCATGAAGTCACCAAGACTACTGGGTAATTCTAAAAATTATATGGGAACTCATAACCTCTACTTTTCCAAAATTTACAGTCCTGAAATTGTCTGGTCCTGAAACAAAATAGTGGTGTGCAAATATATTCACAGTAAKTATGYRTWTAAGCCTCTCTGYAGGAATTGTAGGGCAKGGCATTGCTCAGAAACCAGTGTTGGCATTGYTCAGAAACCAGTGTTGCTCTTCCATGCCAATCCAATCCCTTGGAAGAGAAGAGCTGGGTGAAGCAGCACCATTTAACATAGCACAGATAAATAGAGGATGAGTGAAAAGGAAGAAGAGCAAACCAAAAGGAAGGTTTCCCCCATTCCTCACCAGCCTGGGAGGGATCCTGAAGAATGTGAAGCATACTTGAGGCAATGATTTTGGGTTAATTTTTAAAACAGTTATAAATTGTGTAAACCAAGCTCCAAACACCCAGTCCTCCTTKGCCAAAACAACACACCTCTAATTCCCATATCTATGGAATATGCCAATTATTTGTCAGCCAAAGTATCTATTCACCTGTCTTGCAATGCCACCACAGAAAATTACAGGTGAGTCTGCTTCTGGGCTGGGGATTTGCCCACAMAGTGTGAGCTCYCTGCTWAYMYAKGCAGCCACAGAGGCAGAATTAGGGYTTCTCAGCAAGGCTCATTAKCCCTGCCATGTGCTGCTGTCAGGGATAACCTGCTTCCCACACCCCGGATGGCTTACACTGTGTCTGCACACAGCCTGCTGCACACACATCAGAACCCGTGCTAACGCTGGGCCCCTGAGAATGTTGCACATGCATGATGTAATATAATATTGTATCCTTGGGCTAATGTTTTCCTTAGGCTGCATCCCTGCAAAAGTACCACCACCAACACACGAAGAGTGCTTAGTTTCCAAAATACGTGCTAGTAATCTATCCACTGGGACTGTGTGTGAGATGACACAGGTCCACTTTCATTCTCCCATCTTTCCTTCCTTCCTTCATTTTGTGGTGTCCATCCCTTTGCCCAGACTGAGTTCTCTCCCTATGCAGTTCCTGTTAAATCAGACCCCCATTCTCTAKCTCTCTCACTCTCTTCCTTAATGAAATTCCTTGTGCTCCCCAGGCAGTACCATCACCAAGCCTGCAGCACTGCTGCCAAGAGGTGCTCAGAACAGGGGCTAAAAGCAGCCGTGCACTGCTTCTCCTCCCTTCCTCCTCCCCCTGTAACGGGGTTTCATGCAAAGGAAAGCACAGCCAGTGGCACACACTACAGGACTGGAGCCAAGGGTTTTCCATGTCAGGAACCACTGGGTCAGCCAAGGCACAGACCTACAGGAGAAATGCTGGAGGCTCTAGGTTCTGACACCAGGCACTGCCCAGGGCAGCCAGGGATGGAGCACAGGAGAGGCAAATCCAGCTTTGGGGACAGAAATCCAAGCAGAAAACATTGGGGAACAGTCCAGGCAGAGCACAATGAACAAACACACTGAAACCTGGTGTGCAATGGCCTTACTCCAGGGTTGGACAACGGTGTGATGCAATCCCTATGGCAAACCACAAATGCATTGGGAGAACTCACCAAAGTCATAAGAAACATCAAAGGCAAACTATTTTCATAATTTTTCTTAATTGAACTAGAGCCTGTAAGGAGCTGTAGATCTTTACTTAGGTGACTTTTATTCCTGCCCTATTTTAAAATGGGTCAAACCTGGAATTTTGACTCTGACTGCCATTAGATTTCCTCAGAGCTTTATGCTGAACCTGTTAGGAGGCCACTTGATTCCTGTCTGTTTCTAGATCAAAAAGGATCACAGTAACATTTGAACTTAACTTAAAATGTCAAGAAGTTTCTTATTTTCATGAAAAYAGTTAAAATGTGGTGAAAATTTCARCTCAGGCATTTACAGCACTGTTAAATCCAGACCAACACATTACTCCTAAAGGAGAGTTTGGCATTGTTGTCAGTTAGTTTTCATTTAAGGTCCAGATTACACACTCATGTAGGGAATTAATGGGAAGCATATAGAGTAGTTCCCATCATTCTCTGCTAAGCTTTTGGTGGATGTCTTCCCTGTGTGGTAGTGAGGGTTTCCTATCTTTCACTTATAATTGTCTACAATTATTGAAAAGGTAAGAATGAATTGCTATAGACTTTGTTTGGTGGCTGTTTTTTATTCAAGCACTCCAAGTGTTTGAAGTTGAACATCTCACCCTCATGACCATACCAGAGCACCCAAGTGGAGTTTTCTGATAGATATCCGAGATGTTCTTAAAATGCACTGCATAAACCAAGAGATGAGATGAACAAATTTGAAGCAGCAGAAAATATTCCTCCTTTTCAAATCCTGTAAGTTGCTTCTCTTGTGGCAGAGCTACTACGGAGGCTAGTAGTAACACATATTTAAATGGAGCTCTTCACTTGCTAAAATAACAAGTGTTAAACACTGTTCTATCATGAGGTTTATTTCCCTGTTTTCCTTTTGTGTTCTTACTATTTCTTCCTGTGCAACACAAGAACCAAATCCTGCCTCAAACCATTATTTAGACGGCCCAAAGGTGGACCCTGTTTCTTGAACCAGATTCTAAAATCTCGCCCTTTATTTTAAAATGTTCCAACCTTTTACCTGATATGTGGAACAGAATCTCCCCAGAGGAGAAGGAGCAGGGTATCAGTGCTCTCTAGTTTCATAGGGAGGAACGGTACCATGACCTTTWAACATCTTTCAGTCTCATTTGATATGCCCAGCTAGCATACGTATATTTTTTTCCAGGTCAGATACGATCTGTACTGGCTGATGAAGGTTGGTGACCCAAGCCTACTGTCCTCACTTCAGGGTGGTTTTCAGCATGTTAAAATATCAATGCCAGCATCTTTCTAGTTGCTCAGTAGAGTCACTGAGTTGTAAAAGTCACAGACATTGTCCTGTAGAGATGTGAAAAACAGATGTTATTAACTTTTCCCTCTAGCCCAACAGAAGAACTACAGAAAACACTATGCAGGGCACCTGAAACTCCCAAACAGATGTTTTGTTCTGTTTTGATGTCTTCTTCTCAGACAGAGGATACAAAGGCACTGTCCCTGTTTCTGTGCCTGAAAGGGACAGGTTTCCTACACTGCCCAAAGAGGGTGTGCACCCAGTGGTGTAGAAATAGTTCTGGGGGCACACCACGACACCCCATTCCTTACTTGTTTCACTCCTGCATGAAAAAGCATGTGTAAACTCTTTTACACCTCTACAAAATGCTATATCTTGTTGTAGGCAGAAAGGGATRATAATATAGACAATGGCTGCACCAGCTGCACCTGCTGGAGAAGCTCCATCAGCCAAGAGGCACTGTCCAGGCTCTCTTTTTAGCAGCTGCTTCTTTCCTAATACACAGTGTTTTAACTTACTGTAAATAGGAAATAGTGAATTGGCAAACCCAGTTACAAGAAAGGAAAATAAAAATTCTTTWCAGAAAATAACTCTTTAAATTCAACCTCTAAAAATGAGAAGTGCTCTCTGGTGACTGTATTCATTTTAAGTTGCTGACAGGTTTGTCATGAGCCCAGGCAATATTGCTGGCAATATTCCCTAACACAGCTTCTACAACGATTTTATTTGAAGGGGAATTGTTTCCACATGGCAGGTCTCATTAAAACAATTTCCTCACTTTGGTATGACACCTGGAAGCCAGCTTCTTAACCCTCACTGATAATAAACCAAAGGATGAGCAGTGCCAAGATCATGGTCTTCTCATGTTTCTGGAAGTGTATTATTTACTCGGCCTTGTCCCGATCCCCGTTACAATATTGCTCAGAGGAGCATTGGCTCTCAGTGGCAGTCTAATTAATTGCAAATTAGAAAGGCACCTCTCCTCTCTTTGCTGAATTCCACCACGTCTTCTCTGCTGTTTCGCTTGACCTGCAAAATCCGTGCAAATGCCTGAGCCACACCAGTAACTTCTGTTTTCCCCCTAAGCAGGTGTCTGGCCCTTTTGGTGGCAGATAATCCGTCTGTGACACAATGGGATTATCTGATACTGCTGGACAGGAGAACAGCACGTGAAAAAGCAGTGAAAGKTTGAGCAAAGGCAAATCACTGAGCTTCCACAAAAAAGAGTTAAAGGCGTTTAATCCAGCAGTCCTGCTTGACAGGCCTGTAGTGCTGTAAGCAGCTTTGGCAGATCTGACTCAAAGCTTCTCAGAAGCACACAGGGATGGAGCGCTGCATGGAAGAATTTTCCCACAGGAGTTAATCTGCCCCTACTGGCAGCTCCCAAGGATTGGATAGGGAAGAGGATAGAGGGCCACAACATCAGAGAGATACACATCCCTCAGGGGAAGCAGCACATGTCGCTTTTCCTGCCTCTGCTGAGGCCAAAGAAGTGCTTGGCTAGAGACAGTGGCTGGGGAGGGCTGGGTGTGAAGAGACAACCTCTGCATGGTGAGACTCCCTTTCTTGTGAGACACCAGGGGTTTGAGCCTTTGGACAGCTGCAACCAGAGAAGCTGCAAGCTTCCATACTTGCTCTTGATTTTGCCAGTTYTCATTTCTCTCCTTGTACTTCTTCAAGCTGTTGTGGTGTGAAGAAGACTTGAAATGTGGAGAAGGGACAGGACACTTGAACATGGAAATTTTTTTGTCCTCCTGAAAAATCAARCWGTGKYTCCTTCARGCTGCCTTTSTCCACGCTCTGGRCAYGTTTTCCACCCAAGCAAGGCTTCAATGTCAGAGAACCAGGTCTGGGTCAAGGTCTTGCAGRTTACCCAGTCCCTGGTCCTTCTCCACTGYTTTCCCCATGGTAAATTCCTCACAYAGCACTAACCACATGTCAACACTGCTGCTTCATTAACACTTTTCTGTACTGACTACAGAAARGGATAAGACTTAAATTTTGTGAGAACAGTAAGTTTAGCAGAASCTACTTCAGATGAAAATAAGAAGTGACCTGAATAAAACCCAGTGTTCGACTTTTTCTATTGAGCTTGATGGTATTTGCAAAACTATATCCATTATGCATAAATGTATATTTGATTCCATATTATATATATATATATATATAATATGGAATTATATATATATATATATATATATATATATATATAGGTAATATTCACTGATATGCAATCATCAATCGTTAGCTGAAAAAATTTGTGTAGATTTGGATTTGTGTGGATCCATTCTAGTTTCAAGCAAGCACTACTGTTGTGGTCACTGAGATAGAGCATTTCAATTCAAGATCTTTTCTACTTYTAAAAATTTAAAAGAGTTTGAAAATTCTTTTCCTTTTTCTTTTTTTTTTTCCTAGTCCATTCCTTTCATATGAATGAAAACAGAAAGTCYTTGATTTTCCTAATTTATTTTAGCAACGTTTTTTGTCTCCACATTACCCCTTGAAGTGTTTTGGGTTATCTGGGAAAGACAGTACTAACTTGGCAAGAATTCCTTCAAATTTGAACTACACTTAACTGTAGAATTGCATTTCCAATTTATTATTTTTAATATACTATTTTTTTCCACTTACCTCTGGCAAATTGCAGAAACAAATACCAACATGGAGGCTATATTAACCATAAACCCAAGTTAAATTTTGAGATTTTCATTCAGAAATATTGTCTTCCGTATTAATTAAGACAGATTGTGTAAGAGAGATTGGAATCACATGTGTCCCATCTCCAGAGTCCTTGTCTTATGTAGCAGCACTGAATTTCTCAAAGCTCCAACACAATGACAAGATCACAGAAATAGAGAAATTTCAGCTGAGACACTCTTATCTCTGATCATTCAACTGGCAAGTCTAGTACTAGATGTATGCAAATATGCTATTTAAAACCAAAAGCTTTTATCTCAAGCAAAACCTCAGGAAGCCTGGAAATGTTTTAAGTTCTCTCTCACCTAAGCAATTCAATTTCCTTAAGTATGACACTGCTTACATTAGAGTTCTTCTTGATGAGAACTTACAGGTTTCAGAAGAAACTCATATGACAACTGAAGTGCTTGTAACTGGGACTAAGAAAAGGGTTTTTTTTAACAATCAGTTTTCACAACTTGAAGTTCTTTTTTTTTTGTGGGACTTTTTTCTTCAAGAAGGGTTAGGTTCAGCAAGAGAGTGCAGGCAAAACTGCACTGCAGCAGAAATTTGGGATATTTCCCCTACCCAGCTCTTTTTGGAAGCATAACCCTCTGCCCCAGCATCCCCAGTTTTCTTCCCTTCACCAGCAGATTATAMATGAGGTTCTCACTGCTTCACTCAGTGGCTAATTATGTGCGCAAGTAAAATTGTTTCAACAGCAAAGCCTGAATATGACCCAGCCTATGACAACTATAGAATCACAGAATCATTAAGACCTCTGGAATCATCAGGTTCGGCCATTAACCCAGCACTGCCAAGCCCACCCTTAAACCCTTAAATGTGCCCCTAAGTGCCACATCCACACATTTTTTTAACACTTCCAAGAATAATGATTCCACCACTTTCCTGGTCAGCCTATTCCAATACCTGATCTCCCTTCAATGGAAAAAATGCCTCCTAATATGCAATCTAAACCTCCCCAAGTGCAGCTTGGGGCTGTTTCCTGTCACCTCGATGCCTGGGAGAAGAAATTGACTCACACCTGGCTACACCCTCCTTTCAGGCACTTGTAGAGAGTGATAAGGCCTCCCCTGAGTGTCCTTTTCTCCAGGCTACACAACTGCAGCTCCCTCAGCTGCTCCTCATAAGACTCGTGCTCCAGAACCTTCACCAGCTTTGTTGCCCTTCTTCGGACACATTCCAGCAGCTCAATGTCTTTCTTGCAACGAGGAGTCAAGTAAAGTCATTCACCTGAGCTGTAACAGCCTGAGGTTCAAATTCCTGAACAAAACCTGGCAGAGGTTTAACCCTGAATTTCCTGAAAAGCCAAGTGAAGGCTGGAATTACAAGATATTCTTTTCTGTGGGAAATTTAGTCTTTGCCTCAMTGGTTTTGGCTACARTTTCACCCCTATCCAYGGTCCTTGGAGGATTTTCAGTTTTYAAAATTTAAATGTTCTGSTGRGCRAGTTTTGATCAGTTCTGCTAATGATACTCTTAATTTTACAATAATGAAACAGCAAGCAGATGTTTTGGGCCATAATTTGTTGATCATTTCCTCTATTATTGACAGCTGCTCTAATCTGACTTWAATGCTTCCCTAATTTCTGTAAATCTCTGAGATATATGCATACAAATAATATAAGGCTATTATTTMAAAAATATTCCACTAATGTAATTGCTTGAGCAAGATTTATTATCTTAAATTAAAAAACAAAACAAAGCAAAACAAAAGCATACCATGGTATCTAAGCATAGATGCTCTTCTCATGCAAGATGGACACTTTGGTTTATTCCTATTTTGGAAATAGTATGCCTCAACCAATAGAGAGTGTGAAAATTTTAATTCCTCAAACCACTCAGCATTAAAGTGAAGCCATTAGGCCAAAGAAGAATTATTCATATATAGACACGTCAGGTCAAACTTGCATGAAGAGCTTTGTTTCTCTTACTGCTCCAACCTGGCCACATAAGACAGCCTCAACCCAAAACCTGTCTCAAMCCTTCATATTAAATTSAGCTGTACTAATCTGGATAAACAGCTTGGAAGAAGAGGTACCTCGTGCCTAACCAGTTTGGAGTGTAAATATGTCACCATTCTGCCACATCAGCATTGCTAGTGCTTTTCTTATGATCATCATCCAACCATCACAAATGAGTAAGTCTGACAAACCAAGCTGACCACAGTCCTTCCCATTGCCAGAGCCAATGGAAAACACCAGACCAGGAAACACATTAACACCAAGCTATAGAGAAACTTTACGTGGAAGAGGAGGAGAGTTTTGCCATTGTTTTCAATGGGAAGTGTCTGGACATTTTTGCACCAGAATGCTGTTTGTAATTTACTCACCCCAAACTGTAGGCTTCAGATCCCAGCCTGTAGGCTGCAGCCAGCTTGTTGATGGATTCAGATCCACGGCTGTAGGCAGCTGAGCTGGTGCTGAGCGCCTCCGAGTCCAGGCTGTAGGCAGCAGATCTCTTACTGTGCAKGGCAGAGTGGTCGTAGGCTGCGGATCCATAGCTGTAGGCTGCCGAATCCAGCTCGTAGGCTGAGGAGCCATGGCTGTAGGCTGCTGAGGAGTCRAGGCTGAAGCCTGCTGCAGACGAGTGGCGAGAGGCAGTGGAACTCCTGGCATAAGCTGCAGATCCTTGAGCGTAGACGGCCGATCTGCTCTTGGTTTCCTTTTGGTACTGGCTGACGGTGGACGACAGCGCTTTGTGGCGGTACGCGCGGTCGTAGTGCTCGTGGTGTCTCTGGTAGAAAGGTAAAGACATCATGGGGGCCTTTGAAKTTTGGGGTTCACTGTGATTTTCTGAATGGAAATAAACAGGATAATATCTGAAAAAGAACAGGTCAAACAAAGGCTTATTGTCAAGGAAACTCCTGAGTTRCCGTACAAATAATACACAACTTCACACAAACTAACACTGAGCTTGAAAAATCAGATGCAATCAATTTAGGGTTATCTTTTTATGATGTGGCTTAGATTTTCAGACAGGTTCATATTCAAGTTTCGAGATGCTCACGTCACCCATCATGACCAGAAAYCTTTGCACTCTTGTGTCTGTTCACCTGCTGTTGGCCTCCCTGCTACTGCAAACTATTGAAATTTTATGAACTCACTTTTTACTGCAAACTACTGAAACTCTGTGTGCTTGGCTTCTTCAGAAATTGTGTAACTAATTTTGTTCAATTACAATAGAGATAATAWAGCAATAAATTACTTTTAAAGGCATGAGCAATTCCAACAAAGCYATAAAAGCTGAAACAAAAATATAGGAACATTTCATTTATTTTTGTAATCCAATTTTCAGATTGAATTTAATGTTCCATTTATTATTACAATACTGAATTAAAAGACTAAGATTGAGAAGGATATCAGTTTTTCTTGAAATGTCCATTACATTGACTGTTTTGTATGTGAATACCAGGGTTCAATTTAACATGGTTTATCACTTATTATACTTTAACAGTTTAATCAGGGATACAGTCTGTGTGCAATGTGTAAAATAATATCATGTTCCTCAATCCAAATTCTTGTTTTTAACCTAGAATATCATGTTCAAGATTGCCAAGACCCTTCCTCCCAATGATAGGCCCATTTAAGTTTTAATTTGCACATCATTAGTAGATCGTTTTATAGTCACTTGTAGTATGAAATTTGACCAGGTGAGAGGTAGTTCCCCTCTCAAAATGGGATGRGAGTTGAGTGCAGAAAGAATTTCCCTGGTTTGTTTGTTTSTTKSTTTGTTTTAAAGTCAGCAATTCAGTCATTATTTTGCTTTTGTTTTATTTTGCTGTTGTTATAACTGACTTTTCCTACTTTGACATACAAGCTTGCCTTGARTAACYCATATRATAACCTTYCYYTCTCTTYCTTTTAGGCTYACATGGCTAATAGAATTGTCCCTGWRAAGGTACCTGATAGTAATAGAAATGAGCTACAATGAGAAAATGTTTAGAAGGATTCAAAGAAGATCCAAAAACAATGGTGAGAGGAATTTGTTATTGTTTTTCTTAATAATATCAATCACAACAACAGRAAAATTGTTCAGCTTCTTGTTTTTTTAATATTAATGAACAATGATTTAATGTTTTGACATAAAACAAAGAACTGGACAGCAATCATGATTTCATGAAAATCTAAATATTAGATTTGGGTTGTCCTGTGCAGTGCAAGGGTTTGGTCTTTGATGATTCTTGTGGGTCTCTTGCAACACAGAATATTCTGTGATTCTGTGATTTTTTCCCCTGGTCTTCATGCTTCCTAGATTTCAGTCCTTGGCTTTTTCTCTAGTATTTGGTTCTGATAGCAAGTCAACAAATTTCAAAACTCTTCTCTTTGATAACTGCTGTGGTATTCACCCTAACCAAGACAAAGTATGAAAAAAAACCCCAAAAAACCAACAAACCAAACCCAACAAGAACCAAAAACAAAGAGGACAAGTTTCTTATATTTTAGGGCTTTTACAAGGGAGATGCTCTTTGCAGGATAACTGAATAGATCATTTAGTTGCAGGAAGTCAGGAAGGAAGGAACTCATTCAGAAACTCTTTATGTAAGAGAAATTGCTGATATGCTGACCAGAGTGAGAGAAAGTTTGACTTCAAGGAGACCAATTAAGCATTTATTTTTATCTGAGGAARAAGAAGAAATGGGAAAGAGTGTCAGCCCATTCCTCTCTATGGCAAAAACTGATATTCCTTGTTATTTCCCTTATTCCTCATGCTGGCTATTTTTTCATGTCAATCTGAAAGAATGCAATTATTCTGTCTGGTATTCTTGTTTGTAATACCTGTCACTATTCTGKGTTATTTATTTCACTTTCTTAGCTACCAGTAGGATGTAGTTCCTCTTAATTTCCCTTGTTTCAGAAAATTTTTTTTTCTTCATTTTTCTTCATTGCCTTCCTCTTCCAGTTCTGCAGAGCTGCCTTCAGGACTTGTAAGTCAYTGTGATCACGGCCCAGGAAGGTTTAGGCATACAGAAGAATATTGTCTTGCACAYTGAAAGGGAAGGAATGTAAGAACATCCTGTTTTCCTTCTGCAGAGTACTACAAGTTGCCTTCACCAGCTTTATTTGAGGTGTTGGCTGGCTTCATCATTCATAACACAGCCACAGTGCTAACAGCCACTCAGCTCAGACACTCCCACAGCTCTCCTGGCTTCAAAGAATGGAAGGTGATCCAAAGTATAAAGTGCTGCATGTGTTGTCCATTCCACAGTTAAATGAAGCATTTCATTTACATTTTATCAGAACAAAAGAACAAGCTAAAATGTACAAAAGAAACATTTTCTTCCAAACCAGTAAAAGGTCGGGACTGCACTGTCCTCAGGAGTAAGAGGCTATGACAGGAGTAACAGCTAACGTAGCAAGGCAGGCACTGAGCTCAGTCAGCTCTCCTGGTTCAGATCAAAGGCCAACACTGACTCACATCACATAAAAGGAAACTCCTTTCATAGGTATTTTATCACACTATGAGTTATGCTTTATATTTCCCCTGAAACATCAGGAATTGCTCACAGGCCAGGGTGAGCTTGTTGCACTAGTCTGATCAGATACAGTAGTGGGATGCTATCAGAGAGGACAATAACTTGGAAACTTCTAAGGACTCTGTTCCTGTTTGAAGCACTGCCTGATTATCAGAKTGACTCCCATCTCTCAAGTTTTATCCATGCTACCTGCACCCACTTAGTCTGTGTGCACTTACCAACCCCCTTCAGTGTGAGGGCAACACTCCCTCTCAAGATCTGTGTAGCACTTCCTAACTTCACTAAAATATTAGTGGCCATAATCACATGATTTTGAAGTTTTTAGAGCTRTATTTTAGCATCTGTTGAAGTGAGTATTTAAAATTCTTACTGAGCAGACAGACAGTTCTGTATTTGCCCATAGTTCATAGCTGCACACTAAAGAAAGTGATTTTGCCGGCATTACTTCTTGTGCTGTTTATCAGTCTGTGTAATTCTTTAAAGATCTACTCCATCAATCAATGAAAACAGTCAAATAGATTTAAAAAAGAAACTCTTGTAAGCAGAGAAAAGTTAACATCCTACACAACTAGAAACATTTATTTTATTTAAACATTCTCTAAGCCCACAGGAGATTACATGACAAACTCCTCCTTTTTCTCAGTAACCCATGCTTCATTTGAGAGTACTGTAACAATATTCAAACATAGCTCAGTGAAAATAAAAAAGCCCCTGCACTACTTCCTTTTATTTCATAGCTGAACCTTCAGATGTCTTCAATTCACGTCCACAAATCCCTSAACTGCTGAGCTAAGAAGAATAAAGGGAGCTACTATCAACTTGGCATTACAGATTCAGATTAAAAATAATTGAACACATAAAACCTTCCGGCATAAAAGACCCACTTACCAGGATCGAAATGAATGGCAGCAAATGGAATAGCTCTCAAGTGGATGRATAGCACAAAAATACAGCAACAATGAAGCCAGCAAAGAAAGAGGTAGTCAGGACGAGGGGTAAGGACTGGACTTCAAGGTCCAGAACAAAAATAATGCCTGCAGTCAGTGGAATGTCAGAGCCCTAGTCCAGACCTTTTATGGCCAGGGGGATGCTATAAATATAGCMTGGAAGAGGGAGAGAGACAGATACCGATACCCTGTACTATCTCTGTGCAAAGACATGATGACGGCAGCTTCGAACTAAGGGAGATACAGAGATCTCCCTTTAAAATATCCTCACTAAATTCTGCATAAAATCAGCATGCCTTTTCAAAATTATTTCTAGGATTTCTTTTCCTTGGTTAAATGAGATTTAGGAGAGAAAAAAAAATGTGTCATGAACCAGAAACTAGGAAAGACTAATACCAGTATTAAACTTTGCTATGGTACCAGAATAAAAGCATTTTATTGGTTCCTTTTCTCTTAATGCCAAGCCCCAGTACATAAATTAGATATAGATATTTCAGCTAAATGGCAATCTACCAAGACTCTCTAAAGTCATACAATGAGTTACAATTCAATAGAAATATATTTTCTTTGTTCTGTTGGCAGTGTTACTTTTTTATCATCCTCTTTAAGATAAAATACTAAATTAAGAACATGATCTCATGAGGCATTTAAGTAGACATAAACAATGCAATTCTAAAATCCAACTTTTTGTTTCTAAATTAAACAGTATTACTTCTAGGAATTATTAAATGGGCTTATCTTCTTTCTTTTTGGCTACATCATTCTGGCACAAAAATGAGTAGTCAATGTTGCTGATTACATCAGAGCAAGTTCTGTAATCTGAGATCTAATAGGTGGAATGCAGTGTGACTGCATTGCAAATACAGTTTTCCTCTGCCCTGTAAATTTAGCTTCCAATAGAAGTGACTGCTGCATTTTGTTTTGTCATTTTCATTGACAGAAATATTAACGCTCACAGTTCTGCTTCAGTCTCTTTTCACATTGACCATTCAACACAACTGTGAACATTCCAGATCCTCCAGCTCTGCCGAGACTGTCCTCTTTATGGGCGTAACCACCAGAAGAAGGTCTGGACAAGGCTAGAGCATCTCAGGCTTTTCTCTCCAATGGTTCATCAGCATCTTCTCCTTCACCTCACTGCCTTGATTCTAGCTGAAATCCCTTTGTTGTCCTCACTAGCTACTTGTTCCCTGGGGAGCCACTGCCTCTTCCTGATGCTCCACCATGGAGTAAGCTCAGAAGCCTCTTCATGTCCCAGTTTTTATTCAATACTCCCTGCAGGACAGACACCAGGAGCTGCTCAGCTATACCAAACGTATGGGCTTTTGTTGTTTGCT